AACTCACCCGCCTTGGGTGTCGAGTTCATTTAGATGCTTCCAATCTTCTGCTCGGCTTAATATATGTTTGGCTAACTTTTCCCCGGAGTCTCAAGTGATAACTCTAAGTCTGGCTTAGTCAATGAGTCGTTATTGGCTCGGACGTTGGATTTCAATTGAGAGTTGTATTAACAGTGGTACAGTCCCAATGAGTTTTCAGTTTGTCTGATTTCTAAGATTTACAGATTGCTTTTGTGCCCAGCGCATGGTGACAGGCTTACCGCCTGTTGCCCGTCAGCTGTCCCAATAGGCTCAGACAAATGTATCCACGTTTGTTTCTAGAGGTATCTAGAGGGAAATGAAACCGCAGTGTGGTTGTTTTGACACAAGTGTCAATTCTTTTTAAACGGTTTTATTTAGCTCGACCCGTACGGAATTTGTTTGTTTATTTATTTGGGTCAAAATTAGAAATTGAAATTTAAGCACCTTGCCGTTGTCAGATTGATCTGAAATTTGGTACACACATTTAATTTAGATGACAATACAATATTAACAAAAAAAAACATAAAATAAAACCGTTTAACTTAAAAGTTTTTTAAAGTAATTACTAAACGGTTTTATTTAGCTCGACACGTACGGAATTTATTTATTTGGGTCAAAATTAGAAATTGAAATTTAAGCACCTTCCCGTTGTCAGATTGATCTGAAATTTGGTACACACATTTAATTTAGGTGACAATACAATATTGTAGTTTTCAGTGCACAAAAAGAAAAAACAGAAAATAAAACCGTTTAACTCAAAAGTTTTTAAACGGTTTTATATATACATAACTCGTCATGTTATTTTGTTTGTCACATCGCTAAGACGGCTTTATTACGATGTTTTCGTTCACTAAACTTGTACTGCGTATCGATGGGCGTTAGTTTTATTTAAATATACAATATTATGAAGCTTTTACCTCCTTTATGGGGTAAGCTGAAGAGCTGCAGCTTAATTTTTTAGGGTTCCGTACCCAAAGGGTAAAACTGGACAACATTACTCAGACTTCGCTGTCTGTCTGTCTGCCCGTCTGTCACCAGGCTGTAAAAAATATTTAAGTGAGGCTCCTATACAACAGATATGATTTTTTTGCCTTTTTAGGAACCTTCGTGCGCAAGTGCGCTTCGCAGTTGGCCGGTTATATTGTTTCATCTTCAGTTCTGCGTCCGATGAAGCTCTATTAAAGCTTCATCGGACGCAGAACTGGTGGGCTAGCCAGAACCCACGGGTTTGGCCCTCCGCTATGGGTAGGGTCGCGCATGTGCTCATGCGTGCGTTTAACTACTATGGTGTGTCATCTAAAGGCCGTCGATGTCGCGGTTCGGACCGAGACCCCGACGGCCGTCGACTGTGCATTTAGCTAATCGGTGGCTGGGAGCGGTGAGAACCGCCCCGGAACGCGGGTGTACCTTGTGTACGCGTTGTGGGTCTCGCCGTGATTGGAGGCGAGGGCTGTTGTTTCATCAAAACGTATTGAGTTTAAAAAGTGACAAAGGAATATGCCATCATCCTTAATAGTGCAAGCGACCCGATAACATAAGCCTATTAATAATTCATGAGTCGATTCAAACCTAGTCGAAGTATATGGCGAGCCCTACTGCAATCGGTATCTCTGTTAGAAGTCTGTATTAAGTATGAAAACGTTGTCCCGTTTTAAAGCAGATTTAAAAACAATATGGCGCCCGGAACGGGGCAACCGTCTAAGCAAGCGGGGTATCTTATATCAATCTAGTGGCAACACTTGTGATGAATGTGGTCTCGCTGACGCTCTCCGCTTTTAATATCTCTTTTTATTGCCCCCGCAAGTTTCCGAGCGTCGAGGGCTGCCAGCGCCTTTTAATAATTATAACAGATAATTACAGTAACAGTAGTTTAGTGCCGGTGTCATAAATTGATGGCATTTTTAAACATCTAGGACGTTGGAAATCTCTAATATTCAATTAGCATTTGATTAATTTATCCAAGATTAGGTAACATGTACATGTGAATGTGGTAAAACCTTAAGAATATTTTTTTTGTATTATTTTTTAATTTTATTTGATGCTCTAGGATAACACATGAGCTTTATAAATGTATTATTCTTAAGGATTTTAGTAAACATAGGTATGTTATAAATGGTATGGTCAACAATATAAACCGTATATACATTTAGGAAAAATCCACTCTTACTAATCGAGTATCGAATATTGCCGTGATAGCCGGCTCGGCCATTGTAACATCTGAAAATGTGTACTAAATACATGATACGTGCATAATGAACCCTTATTAATACGCATTACAATTTACATGCTATTACGTATTGAAAGTACCGCGCCTCTCGCTTACAATCGCGTAAAATTCGTGTTCGTGGTGTGGTGGATGTGGTTAACTTATATGGTAACAACGCCGCTCCTTGCGGTCGAAGCGTGATGTCGCCTTTAACCTTTCTCGATAATTGTGCTCGTAATATGACGTGCATACTTTCCATCAGTACTATATAACAGATACCCCCGTCATTATCGTACAAAAAAATCAATCAAACAAACAAACAAACATATCTCATACAAGTAAATTTTCTATTAAACGAAAAACCAAAACCGACTTAAAACATCTCGCTCTGCTATCATTTTATAATTGATTTTCAGGAGTTCTCTAGTATCTCCGTAGGCCAAGATCCTATACCAATGGAATTGATATGGGACCACATGGGAAGAAACAGCTCTGAAATAAAAAAAAATAATCATCAAAATCGCTCCACTCAGTCGAAAGTTCTGAGGTAACAAACATAAAAAAATACAGTCGAAACTTTTTTTGAAGTTTGACAATATGATTTGATGTAGATTAATGCCTTCCTGGTTAAAAAAGACGAACTTTTTTACGTAAGCATTTTTGACAGCCCTGTTAGGCGCTTGATATTTGTGTTGCCATGTTGTGTTTATTCCCTGTTTACGGGTGTTGTTTAGCGTTCGGCGTTATTTTATTGCATTGTTATGATGGTCCGTTTCGTACGATGGATCGGATGTGACTCTTGCCGCTCTTTCGGCTGTTTGTTTATCACTAATCCCTTCGGCGGTCAGAGGAGAGAACTAAAGGATGAATTTCGTAGATGTCACTTTGTGCGCTGTAATGTGGGTTAGTAAAGTATCAGCCTATACATGTCTCACTTTTGGGAAAGGTCCTCCTCTGTACAGAGGGTATTAGGGCATAGTTCACCACGCGGCCCCACTGCAAATTGGCGGACATCACATAATATCTTCGAAATATTTTTTTTTTATTATTTCGAAAATATGCAGGTTTCCTCTCGATGTTTTTCTTCACCGCTGAACACGTGATGATTCGGCACTTAAAATTAACAATTACATTGGTGTCGGCACCAGGGATCGAATTCAGCTTGCTCGAGTATATTGAATTAAAGGCAAGCGCCCGGACACTGAGCTATCACGACTCATGTGGGTTAGACTCCTGATAAAATTTGTAACAAATATCACTGTAGTAGAACCACGCAACAGTTATCGCTGTTGCACGAATGGACAGGTCCGTCCGGGTAAGTACCACAACCTAAACCTCGATATGCCACCAGCGTGAAGTGAAAGTACCACTTTATTAGAAGGTGGCAACGGATCTGCAACCCTACGGGTGTTGCACATGTCAATAGGCGGCGGCTATCACTTAGCATCAGGTGAACTGCCAGCACGTTTGCCACCTTCACACATTAAAAAAAAACCTTTCAGCCTGAGTAGACTTTGCGGCCTTCGTTTTATGCTTGTGAAAGTCTTCGCGGCACGAGGGTGACGCCTTAATTCGGGAGACGCTTAAAAATGCATTAATTTTGTTCGCTCGGTCATAACAGCTTACCTTGTTTATCAACTATCTCTTTTTGAATACGAACCAGCCAGTGCTTAACTACCATATCACATCGTGGTAATTGACTATGCTGTCATCAATGTTTAACGCCTTTACCGTGATAATTCCCGTGATAAGTTGACGAATATAATTTTTTTTATTCATAATATTTTTTTAGTTTTTAATTATGGAAGACCCTATTCTATCAGTTCGGGCCCTATGATTTTATTTAATATAAAACTTCTCATTTTTTTTAAACTAAGACAGAGTTAGGTTTCTAGTTTGCATCAAGGTTATATACTCCTTATTATTTCTAAAATATAGGTTATGTACTGCCTATATTTTAGAAATGTTTAGATACTTATTTTAGTCTAAATTAAATTTCATTGTACACACCTACCTACCTATTTTCCCTCGATAACTTATCTATTATTAATTATTAAAATTTAGCTGATAGAGAACTCTGTTTAGGGTTAAGCTTGCCTTTGTACAGTCCTTTTTATAATCCTTAATTTGTAATTGTAATTTTTTGTGTACAATAAAGAATGACTACATAGTATAAAACAAAGTCGCCCGGTTGTCTATCTGTCCCTATGTACGCTTAGATCTTTAAAATTACGCAACGGATTTTGACGCGGTTTTTTTATTAGATAGAGTGAGTCAAGAGGAAAGTTTATATGTATAATACTTTGCACCCGTGCGATGCCGGGGCGGGTCGTTATTAAATAAATAAAATAAGGTTGCTGAAATTCAAACTGCAGTAACATTTTCTTGTATTTACGCGATTACACGTTACCAAGTGTAACTATGTTTACGGATTTATCGCGAAGTTTTAATTCCCGACGTTTCGTACCCTTTACAGCGTTCATGGTCACGGGACAGACTGAGGCGTTGGACGTCTTATGACACTCTGTAATTATATAGTTTCATCCAAACAGCAGTTTTGCGTAATTTAACAGGACCAAATATGCGACATTGGCTTAGGATATGGAACCCCATTAATGCCCTTGGGATTCGAACATATGACATCGGAGCTCGACTTTAGTGAAAAAACTTGCACATCAATATCTCCTGATCGAATGAATTTACCCCTTGTCTTAAAGCCTGTCCATTCAATTTCATTCAATTCCATTCAACCAGCGTCGTCGAATGGAGTTGAATGAGCAACCCATTTGCCGACGGTCGCGAGTGCGACGAATTAGCATTATCATATTCCACGCTGACCTCAAACCCGTGCCAAATTGGCTTTGAATTGACTGAGCTCGAGTGATTTACTCGTATTTATACAGACGCCGGAGACCACGTGTATGCGTTTGTGCCTGGGTATGTTACAAGTTTTCACACCGCAGTGAGAATAATAGTCGTGTTGTGACATCCTTAAACACCTACCGAAGACATCATGTATAGATAAGGAGCAAATGTCTAAGTAATAAAACCCAGAAGAAGTAATTGAAATAAATCCAGTAGCTTTTTTATTCGTAACTTGGCCAGCACTCGATTATTGTCGCACTCGATGGGAAGTGGCGAAGCGCGCTAGCTCAGTAAAATTCTGTACACTATTGCTTTGAAGACGTCCACGTTATAATCGGTGGGAAAGAGGGACGTCGGCAGGTTGTCCCAACAACAATGTACCGACAACAACGGCAGACCTCTATCATTTTGTTTATATAGACGCGTGATGTGTGTGTAACAGAAGATCGGCGTGAAGTGGTTGTTATATACTTCTGCGTTTCGTCTGTGAATGAGGTGGCTACCTATCCACTTTATTAAAACGCGTCTGTAACCCTACGTGTGAAAAAAAAGTAAAGTAACAGCTCATACATATCCTACTGCTGGGCAAAATCCTCTGTCTAGAGGGTATCAGGGCATAGTCCACCACGTGGCCCCACTGCGGATTGGCGGACTTCACAAATCTTCGAAATATTTTACTTTGTTACTATTTCGAAAATATGCAGGTTTCCTCAAGATGTTTATCCTTCATCGCTCTGCACGTGATAATTCAGCACTTGAAATTAACAATTTCAGTGGTGCCGGCACCGGGGATCCAACTCGGTTTGGTCGAGTAAATTGAATTAAAGTGACACTGTGCTATTTACCCTGCGGGTGTTGAAAATAATTTGCCATGGGCGGCGGTTAAGATTTAGCCAGCTCGTTTGCCACCTTCTCACATTTAAAAAATTCGTTTCAGCCCGAGTGGACTTTGCCTACTACGTTTCATGCTTGTGAAAGTCTTCGCGGCACGAGGATTACACCTTAGTTCGGGAAATGCTTGAATATACATTAATTTTGTTTGCTCGGTCATAAAAATTTACCTTGTTTAACAACTATCTCTTTTTGAATACGAACCAGCCAGTGCTTTACTAACATATCACATCGTAACTGACTATTTTTTTTTTATCAAGAAAAAGAGGCAAACGAGCAGGAGGCTCACCTGATGGTAAGTGGTCACCGCCGCCCATGGACACGTGCAGCACCAGAGGGCTTACAAATACGTTACCGGTCCCTTAGGAAAGAGTATCTCGTCATCGATGTTTGATCAATGTTTAACGTTTTATCAATTGCATTTACCGCATCACTTAGCATCAGGTGGGAGCCGCCAGCTAGCATCTCTCCTTCTCAAATGAAGATACATGTGCGTTGTTGCAGATGCGCCGGCGCGGCTGATCTTGGCGGGATGCAGGGCGGCGGCGCGCCCGCCGCGGACGCCGACCAGGCTCAGTTCGAGGCGGACAAGCGCGCTGTGTACAAGTGAGTAATTCCCGGTTTAATAAATCTAGCATATAAGGATTCGTATTTCGTAAGTTATTGTCATCTGTATAAGTTACGACGGGGTTGGCGTATATTTATAGATAAAAACCCCATAAAAATAAAGATAATAAAAAAAAAGAATTAAACTAGGGATTTGTTTTTGAAGTTACACTTCGTCAGGCGCGTGAGAGTGAAATTTTAAGATGCGTGCGCATCACTGTAACAGAAAAGTAACACCTTTGAAGCCCTTTTGCCCGCTAAACCGCTTAAGTTATTTTCTAATTTAAACTGTACTTTATTGACTGTTTTCACTATCCTTTTACAGTATTTTTTATTATATTATTTTATTGTAATTAAATATTTAGTATTGTTTATACAGCGTGTCGTTACCACCGCGACAATAAATGAACACACATATAGAGGATAACTTTTTAAAATTGTATTAAACATTTACATTCTTTAAACATCAATATTTACCGAGTTATTAAATTTTCTAAAATAAACAATTTTAGAACACCCTTACGTATAAAACTGTAACGTAAAGTTCATTTGTAAAGGTCACAAAGCATATGAATGGCTTGAATGAATTTAAAAGAGACAAAACATACTTTTAGAAGGAGATGCTTGTAATGCGACGCTGTGGCGCGAGTTGTATAGGATGTTACAATTTTTTTTTTCGTTTTTATTTAATTAGTTTGTTTCAAAAATATTTTTTTTTAATTATGGATTTTGTTTAATGTTAATATTTTTTTATGATTATTGGCAAGTAGCGTTAGACGTGTGTTCATTTATTGTCGCGATGGTAACGACACGCTGTATATTAAATATTTATTATTTTATTTATAATTTTATATTTTTTTAATGATGGCAAAGAAGTATAACTTCTCACGCGTGTACATAGATACACGCACCCAATTTTTTTAATTCGTAACTAGCCAGTGCTTGACTGCCATTCCACCTGATAATAAGTGGTGATGCAGCCGCTGATGGTAGGCGCGCTAAATTAAAAACAAATGTTTTTTCAAATTGACGCTTGGGCGTTCTTATGAAACGTCGAATTTCACATAAAAATTGATACACAAGTTAGCTTAGTAAGTTACCACCGGATCAGAAAGCAGTTTCTGTTGATATGAACCGGCAAGAAACTCAACTGTTGCTCTTTTTAAAATCATTTTACAATGTAGCATGGTACAGGTATAATAGTCTTATTTTAACCTACGTGAGTATCAACAGCTAACTCCACACATTGGCGTCTAGGAGACATTCAGCAATGGTATAATATAGAAAGTGTTATACTTCTGCGATGCGTAACCGAGGGTCACTGTATTTCAGGTTGGCACCGTATCTGAAACCCTGCGGGTCTTATAAATGCCCATTTTTACGTGCTTAAAGCTGGCGATGACCACCTCGATTGTCAACTTCTCACTTAAAAAACAATAGAATACTTTAATACTTTTTGTCACTGTGAAAATATTATAGAAATCTTTTGATTCCAACGTGACAAAAATGTAATTAAAACTATTTGCTGCAGTTATAACTTAATGATACACTACTACAATGCATTTATAATCAAACAAAGACCGCACTATGAGGCAATTAGGATTGACTACGAGTAAAGGCCCATTTACACGATGCCATTTTCTTGAACATACAAGAGCAATAATTGAATGCAATAAATTGATTAGACCATGTTGTTTAGACATGCAACTCATTTATTGCTTCAATTTAATTGTATACAACAGGCAAGAAACTGGCACCGTGTAAATGGGCCTTAAGGAAGCCGCACTACAATTGTTCCCAATGTAAATAGCGATTAAAATAAACCTTCCAACTTGATATAAACAACCTCCGCCACCTCCGATGTACTGGCTTAGGCGGCGGGGGTCGTTAATTCGATTCCCACACTGAACAACTATTTGTGTGACCCAAAGATAGTTATTTGGCATCTGGGTGTTTCTCCACGTTAAATTTGTGTTTGTAGAACGCCCTCACACACCGGGACAATGTTATCCCAAAGGATGGGCAAAGTTTATTACAAAAAAAAAACCTCCACTACGTTCCAGACATCCCCTTTTCCCCCTGCTCGCGTTGCTGCTGGAGAGATGCGAGCAGGCGACGGCAGGGGCAGAGCCCCCGGCCGCGGACGCCTTCGGTGCCGATCTTCAGGCGTTCGTGCAGCACCAGCGCCGCGACAGGCGGCCCTTCCTCGTCGACGACCCCGAGATAGACGGCCTCATGATTAAAAGTATACAGGTATCGAGGAACATGCCAAGCGAAAAACTCTTAATATGATTATTATTATTATTACACCTATGGAGGCATGCGTTAATGTTGTTATAAATATATTATTCAAGTCGTAGAGATCAACAAAATAGCCATAGCTTCGTGTAGCAGAGTCGAGTGTTTACCAGAGCACAATAACACTTAGCAATAGCCGATATTCCGTACACAGTTTGAGAAACCATATTTAACTTCTTGGATAGAGGAGTAAGAAGAAATGGTGTGCGTCTTATTATCTCTTTCCTCCATTGAATGAATCAATGTCTTTATTGATAGAATATGTTAATACACTGTAATCTTAATTATCATAATTTGGTATAAAATGTTCAGGTGTCTTCATCACGCAAATGTCTGCATGCTGAAGTCAGCTCATTGAAACACTTAGCAATAACCGAATTGCGTACACAGGAGCTGTGTTTTAACAGCTCTAGGATTTTGCATAAACTTCCACAATTTGGGGATGGTCATCCGTGCCACCTGTAATCGTCCAAAGTCGACGTTCACGATGTCGTTGTCCGTTGCACTTGCAGGTGCTCAGGATCCACCTGCTGGAGCTGGAGAAGGTGCAGGAGCTGTGCCGGGACTTCTGCGGCCGCTACATCGCCTGCCTCAAGACCAAGATGCAGAGCGAGAACCTGCTGCGGACGGACTACGCGGCCGGTGACTTTTTTTTTTTGTGTAGATCGCTATTGGCCCTTTGGCCAGGCAGTGTTGAAGGGAATTGTCACCAGCTATTTCACCAATATTAAGAAGTTTCACTATCTCTTTACCTCCCCACTATGATATTAACCAACCCCTAAGTCGTGGCATGTTGTAAACACGCTCGTTACGAATCCTGTTGAACTCTTTTTTGCTTTATAACTTTGTCTCTTTGTTTTTCTTTATGTAATAAGATGGCAAGCGAGCTGGCGGTACACCGGATGTTATGTGATAAAGGCCGCCCTTAGACATTTGCAACAACCGTAGGGTTGCAGATGCCTTGCCATCCTGTTATAAAGTGAGCCCCGGCTACCTCACTCACCAGACGAAATGCACAATACAACTCTTCCTTTTCACGCCGTTCCTCTGTGAGGTCGTGGTACTTCCATGGACGGACCTGCCCATTCGTGCAACAGCGAAAACCGTTGCGTGATCCTACCACAATAAATTGTAAAGTCTTCAATAACATAATCTCGTAGGCATCGCAGTTTGGACTCCCGTTCGCTGCAGACCAATTTTGGTGATCTCGTTTAGTACAACCAAGGAAACCTCGACTTCTTCATTAACCGGGGTGTCTCTCTCCAGGTGGCATAGAGAGCAACAACAACCTGTCTGGCACCATGGACGACCACTCGAGCACATCCAACTCGCCCCAGTATCAGGTACCAAAAGTATGTCAGATCTTTTTTAGGGGACCGTTCACTTACTTATCAGATACGCTGACAAAACCGTGTAACGAGAATTTTATATATTGGATTCTTCTCTTCAGGTCGATTCGAGAATAGTTTTAGATTTATAATTTTTTTTTAAGTTAACCGATTTAAGTCGTGTGTACAGGACAACGTCTACCCGCTCCACTAGTAAACCTATAATAAAATCAAAGATGGACCGAATGAATGAATGAATGACACTGACACTGTCACTGTCACAGTCACATAAATTTCAAACTATCGTGCATCGTAAAGTAAGCCTATACATGTCCCACTGCTGGGCAAAGGCCTCCTCTATAAAGAAGGTATCAGGGCATAGTCCACCACGCGGCCCCACTGCGGATTGGCGGACTTCACATATCTTCGAAATTTTTTTTTGTTATCATTTCGAAAATATGCAGGTTTCCTCACGATGTTTTCCTTCACCGCGGAGCACGTGATAAGTCAGCACTTAAAGTTAAAAACTTCATTGGTGCCGGCACCGGGGATCGAACTCAGGTTGCTCGAGTATTTTGAATTAAAGGCGAGCGCCCGGACACTGAGCTATCACGGCTCTCGTGCATCGTACTGGACACGAAACTGTATAATACATTGTAATTTAATGAAACTAGTTTCCATTGTGTCTCTCGTGACCACGAACGCTGGAGAGGGCTCGAAACGTCGGGAGTCAAAAATAAAAATTAAAACGCGATAAAACCCGTAAGCTAGTTTCATTTAATATGTGTAATATTCGCGTAAAGTCGACAAATCAATACATTGGTAATTTGTAAAACTGGATAATATTACATAGTGTATGCCGCGACAGGTGTCTGTAGCAATTAACACCTTACGATAATATGCATTCTATCTATCTTTCTATTTTTTTTTAAAACATTGCCCTCACTGTAGGATATTACATTATCCTGTATTGTAAGGACGTTATACAAACATAAATTGCACGAGGACAAACACCCAGATGCTAAACAACTGTCTGCGGATCGTGCAAATAGTTAGCCGAAGCCAATACCTTGGCAACTGCGCCACGGAGCCATCGCTGGGCTTAAAGTGCCGTGTTCGTTCCAGTCGCCGCCGGCGCCGCTCCCCGCGCCCTCCTACCCGCCCTCGTTCCCCCCGCACGCCGCGGACCTCCACTACCCGCCGCCGCACCGCGACCCCGGTGAGTGAACACGCACATGCATACACGCACACACACGCACGCACGCACGCACGCACGCACGCACACACGCACGCACGCACGCACGAACCATTACACGTATGTCCGTGTGGTACATGCACGCCCCCACAATTGGTACAACACAACTTACACGGGTTTCAGTAAGCCAGTACTGGTTTCACCCGAATATTCGTTTGGAATGTTTTATGCATACAATGATCGTCTGTCCTTCTGTCCTTTCGGTTTAGAGGCTGTGTTTTTTTTTTTAATTTTTATTTTATAATAGCTCTTTAAATAAAGGACTACGACATTTTTGAGAGGCACTATCTTTATATTCCTGTGTCATATCTGCTTGTGTTTTTTTTCCTTTGGAAAAATTGGCAAGCGAGCTGACGTTTCGCCCGATGTTAAGTTACCGACGCCCATTAGTCACTAGAACATCTGTGGGGTTGCAGATGCATTGCGAAGCTTAAAGATTGAGCACCGGTTATCTCACTCAGCAGGCGAAACGCAATGGCAATAAAACTTCCACTTCGCTCTTCCACCGACCCTCTGCGAGGGTCATTTCACCGATCCTCTGCGAGGGTCTTTACATATGGGCCAGCCTTTTCGTGCAAAATAGAAGATGCTACGTGTTTTAATATTTTAATATTAGTCTTTGAAATTGCTTACGTGAATCTACTTACACCTTGTAATGTCGTTATTAATTTTTAAGTAAAACGATGATTCTGATGCTTTTATTAACTTTTTTTCTTACTTTATTATTATTATGAAGGAAGTGTGTCAATTGACATGTCAAAAAGTGACCTTACTAGACTCGTTCAAATTTACGTTCCGTTACTACACGCCTCATAATCATCGTGCCCCTTCATCCCACCTATGTGGGGTTGGCACAACATTCGAATCATTTTGTCAATGGTATTCGCGAAGCTTCTACGAACGCCTGACTGATGCCAACCCTCCTTGGAGCTAGCACCAGATATAATTGCGTGACTTAGAGACAAGTACTTGTCCCGCGTGAGAATAGAACCGAAGACTTGCTGAGCCATTAGCTTAGCACCTGCGCCACGGAGTGCTTAACGCCCTGAATCGATCCTATGTATGTTTCTGCTTGCAGCGTCCATGGTGATCCAGGGTTCGACGCCGATCAGCCAAATCGGGGCCGGGTTGATCACGGCGGATAACTTCACAGGTCGGTGCCATGGGCATTTTTATATTTTTCATGGCGAATCAGACAAACAATCAAGCGACTTAGCCGATGACAAATAATCAGCTCCATTGACTTCCAAAACACCAGGGAAGCTGAAGCGTTGCCGTTCAAATGGGAAGGCTTCGGAAGACCTGGTCCCTGAGTTCGATTGGGAAAAAAAGTAAAAGTAACAGCTTATATATGTCCCACTGCTGGGCAAAGGCCTCCTCTGTATATAATAAGGGCATCCACCACGCGGCCCCACTGCGGTTTGGCGGACCATCACATACCTTCGAAATATTCATCACGATGTTTTCCTTCACCGCTGAGCACGTGATAAGTCGGCACTTAAAATTGACAATTCCATTGGTGCCGGCAACGGGGATCGAACTTAACTTGCTCGAGTATATTGAATTAAAGGCACTGAGCTATCACGGCTCGTTTGGTTAGATTGGAAACTAATGGAAAAACTAACATTGGAAAAGTAGAAGGTAGAAAAGTGGAAGTATAATACTTTCGCGTTTCGTCTGGTGAGTGAGGTGGCCGGAGCCCAATTTCCAAAAGGTTGTCAACGCATCTGCAACACTCGGGTGTAGCAGATGTCCGTGGGCGGCAGTATTCACTTAACATCAGGTGAACCGTCTGCTTGTTTGGCAACTTTTCACATAAAAAAAAAATTAACGCAATAATTATACTGTCTATTGTTGGAGCGTTGGTAAAGCAATGAATCCTAGGTGAAATATCTAAAAATGTTGTTTTCTTTAGTGTAATACTTACGCTAAAAGTTTCACCATGAAATGAAACTATTATTTTTTTTTACGGATTTCATTTGTATTTAATTCAAATCCATCCCTCCCGCTGCCTTGAGCGCTGCAAACTGTTGGAAGCGTCGGTTTCACTGCAATGTCCAGTTCCGCTGAGGCAAAAAGCCGCGTAGTGGGATATCAGTTTCCTCTGTTGTTTCAAAGAGACGCTTACAACAGTGTTTCTGTTCGCCAGTAAGCATAGTCTGTTAGTCCTTTGCTACTACCAAGCTTGTCTAGATCTCCTCGATGGCAGTGGTCGTGTACACAAACTACAAAATGCCATGAATGACTCAATGAAATGTACTTTATTGTACACAAAAAAATACAAAATAAAATTATACAAAACTGTACAATAGGCGGCCTTATCGCTAAACAGCGATTTCCAGGCAACCTAGTAAAAGGAGATAGTATAAACATTAGTATCGGGTAACGGTGTACACTAAATTGATAACAAACCAATAAGTCACAATATGTATACATACATATTAATAAATTATGCACGAATACACATACAAACACCATATATGAATATATATGTTAATATTCCATACTAATTGTTAAAGACCGAAGTAGCCTTTCAAACAATGGTTGTGCACACAAGGAAGTTTATAAATAAAACTACACTGTGTACTGATCTGTTGCTGGTTATGTTGATCTAAAACTTTTGGTGACTTTATTTCGTCCCAAGTGACAAACGATAGCGTGCTTTATATAGATCGCAGCGCCATCAAGTGTTGGGCGGAGAAATGAAAGCTTCATATACACTAATATTATAAATGCGAAAGTAACTCTGTCTGTCTCGCTTTCACGCCACAACTACGGAACCGAAATGTGGTACACAGATAGTCTAGAGCAGTGATTCTCAACCTTTTTTTTTTGTTGCGGCACATATTTAACGATTTCAAAATTTGGCGGCACACAAAGAAAAAGATATAAATTATTTACTTACTACAACACACTGCATAAATAGTTTATGACATTTTTTTTAAATATACGAAATAAACTAATATATACTACGAATAATATATACGCGAAGAAATACAGACACAGTGCGTGTGCAGCAAGTCAGCACATAAGCTCGGGATTCCCCGTGAGATGTGTACACAGCGCACGTGTTCAATCACAGTAGCATTTACTAGTGCGATAAAAACAAAAAAAAAACTTATTTGGAAAACCGTGTAAAAGCGAAAACGTGTAAAACAAGTACCGTGTAAATAGGTGTACTGCAAAGTTAATAAGTTTAGTGTGCGCCGACTTGAGACATATTCCTATTGCTATGCACGCCGCTTCATCATAATTTGGCACTAAGAAAAAACGTGTTGCCAAGTAAATAATAAAATTTATTTTTTTGTGGATTTAAAATATATATTCATGTTAAAAATATTTTTCTTTTTAAATGATATAATTTAATAATATTAACATTATTATATATTTGCAAAATTTGGCGGCACACTTTTGAAATTTGACGGCACACAAAAGTGCCGCGGCACAGTGGTTGAGAATCACTGGTCTAGAGCCTGAGAAAGGACGTAGGCTATTTTTTAATTGGAAATTTTTTTTAAAGAAAGATATTTATTTAAGGGCTTCAACGCGAGCGAAGCCGCGGTCGGAAAGCTAGTAATATAAAAAAAAAACCATCTACGCGCGTTCCCCCCCAGGCACCAACTCGAGCACGTCGAACGTGTCTGGCGTGTCGACCCAGTCCTGCTCCTCCGTGTCGGGCTCCCCCCCGCCCGACGAGGAGGAGGAGGGCGGCAAGAGGGGCGTGCTGCCGCGCCACGCCACGCAGGCGATGCGCGCCTGGCTCTTCCAGCACCTGGTGGTGAGACAGCTGCGCACGCACACCGGCGCACACCTGCGAACACTTGCACACACACACACACACACACATATGGCTTTGTGAACGCTCTCCCAGCACCTGGTGGTGAGACGGCGCCGCACGCACACCTGCACACGCCTGCGATCACCTGTACACACCCTCACATACCTGCACTCACATGCACACACCTGCACACACACATGTATACACTTGCACGCACCTGCACACACCTACAAAAACACCTGCACACACCTGCACACACCTGCACACACCTGCACACACCTGCACACACACCCTAGAGGAGGGAGTTAAGCAAAAATCACGATACATCACAAGGGGGAATGTAGTGAAATAACACGTGTAATTAAATTTTGTAGAAAAACGGAACGAAAAGTTTCTCTTCGCTGTGGGAATCGAACCCGGATTCGCGCCCTCACGCTCTAGCCACTAAGCTAAACAAACGGCCGATTGCCAAACCGACGAAATTCTCTACTTCCCTTATCTTAAGTGCAGATATTAGCGCTATAAAAATTAAAATTTCTAAAAAACACGTGTAATCTTTTGTTTTGTGTGAGCCTGACCCGCCTCTGCCGGGCGGACAAATCTTTGAACAAAGTGTGTGTGTAGACATTTTTTATCACGGTCCTTAATGTTCCAGAATTAAATTTATGCCATTATACCTACCTGTATTTAAAAAAAAAAGATATTAGCTTTTATATTTATTACTTTTTTTGTTTATGTTTATTTTTATTGTTTTTAGTTTATCGCACAACATTATTTCTTAAAATCGTTCAGAAAATACTTTTGACCATTTCAAGAAAAATTCTTATGCGGGAAAAGATAATGTACAGATAAAGCATCTCTCTAAAATCGTCACATTTTCATCTTACAAAATGTTGTGTACACGCATTCGAATGTCTCAATACGCACATATAAACCAAAGTCAAAAGTATCAAGAACATCGAAGATAGGGATGTGGAAAGTGAAGAAATATGTCGATACATCGACATTTATAAAAATATCTATATCGGCCTCGATAATTTTTAATGATATCGAATAGTATACCAATAAAAATTGTTAAGAATTTTACTCAGTGCCGGATTCGAATTTGAAAAAACATCGTTTTGGATACGATTTCGATATTGAATATTTCGTATCGATATATCGCATCCAAGTACATCGGCTAAAAATATCGACATATCGATACTCTTTCGACGTCCCGAATCGAATGTACCCTTTCCCCTTCCAAGAGTCGTCAGCTCGATCACTTAACCCCACCGGCAGCACCCGTACCCCACGGAGGAGGAGAAGCGCAGCCTGGCCGCGCAGACGCGCCTCACCCTGCTGCAGGTGAACAACTGGTTCATCAACGCGCGCCGCCGCATCCTGCAGCCGATGCTCGAGTGCGCCGACAAGCCCGGTCAGTGGCCGACCTTCGATCTTTTTTTTTTTTTTTTTTTTTTTTTTTTTTTTTTTTTTTTTTTTATTTATCTATTAACATAGTGAATACAATTGGTTCAAAAAAAACATTAAGTTCGCCAAACGGAGAACACAGTTTATTGGCGGAAACTGCCTTAAGACATAAGACGTAAGGCATTCGATCCGTTTACTTAGTCTGTTTACAATTATGTTACATTTAGTTACAGATTAAAATTTAAAAAAAAAAATGACAAAATAATGAATAAACAAAAATAACAAAATTAATAAAAAAAAAAATCTCTTCAATCTTCAGCCCGACAGTTTGGCTTCTTCCTTCTGGGGTGTCCTATCCTGTCGGATGTCTGTGACCGCCACACGGAACTGACGGCGTCCTTGATGTCTGTCCATTTTTTCAAATTGTCACTCCGTGTTATTCGTCTTCGTCCTCTTCCCCGTTTTCCTATTTTTCCTTCAAGTATATTTTTCAATATGTCGTATATCTCATGTTTTTTTTATGCGAAACGTTGTCAAACGAGCAGACGGATCACCTGATGTTAAGTGAATACCGCCGCCCAGGGACATCTGCCACACCCGAGGGTTATAGATGCGTTGATAACCTTTTGAAAATTGGACTCCGGCTACCTCACTAACCAGATGAAACGCGAAAGTATTTGTCATACTTCCACTTTACGCCGGTCTTCTGTGAGGTCGTGGTACTTACCCGGACGGGCCTGCCCGTTCGTGCAACAGCCGAGGCTGCTTCGTGGCCCTACCACCGTGATACACGTTAACAAACACCCAGATGTTAAACAACTGTCTGTGGGTCACAAAAATAGTTATCTCGTGTGGGAAACGAACCCCCGACTCCCGAAGCCGAAGCCAATAAGTTGGCAATTGCGTCACCGAGTCATGGAAAATAAAAAACACAACCTGAGCTCGATACCTGCTTCCGGCATCAATGAAATTGTTAATTTTAAGTGATCACTTATCACGTTCTCAACGGTGAGGGAAACTTACATATTTTCGAAATGGTAACAAAAAAAAGTATACATATTTGTTTCGAAGTTATGCGAAGTCCGCCAATCCGCACTGGGGTCCTGCAGTGGACTATTCCCTAATACAGAGGGTATAGGTACAGAGCGGCCTTTAACCAGCAGTGGGACATATGTCATCCCTAAATTGCTTGGTTTACTACTATAAATAACAAAATTTTTAGGAAGAAATTTTTTGATCCACACCTTTGTCGTTCCCTGATAGATACAAGTCTTAGTTTTTTAACCGACTTCAAAAAAGGAGGAGGTTTCACAATTCCACTGTATATATATATTTTTTATGTGTGTTCGAGGAGAACTTCGACATTTATGAACCGATTTTGATGATTCTTTTTTTGTTGGAAAGGAGATATCCCAAAGGTGGTATCATGATAAGGACACGAGATCTGATGATGGCATCCCAGAGAAATCGAGGGCAATTCTCAAATGTTATAGGTGTTGACAATGTTTTTAATAATTTTCTGTTTGAAGTCGGTTTTTTTTGTTCAAAATTATGTTTTGAACAAACCAAGTTTCAGATTTGAAGGTTTCGACGAAATTAAAATATCCCAGCCATTAATGCAATCCCTCACTATTAGCATGCGAGATGTCGATGAGACAATTTCACATTAAAAGAGAATTCCTCTCCGCAGGGGGTAAGAAAAGTAAAAACGGCTCGTCGATAAGCAAGAGGTACTGGCCGGACGCGCTCACCAACCCACAATTCACCGCCGGTGAGTAAACTGCCGTTCAGATTCTACCAAAAGCATTGGTAGGTTTTGGTGGAATAAAATCCCACAATCTCTGTTATTGCCTGTTTCTGTTGTTCCCGCGCAAATGTGCGGCGCGAGGGAGACAGACGACAGGCAATGACAGCTTAAAATAAATTCTTCCTACCCGCGATCGGACTATGTCGAACACATAAATCGAATCAAATATATCTTTATTCAAATAGACGCTTGCGCATTCTTATGAATCGTCGAATTTTACATAAAAAATTGTATATAGGTTCGTAAGGTACCACATATTACCTCTCTCTGTCGGTCGTGGCCATGAGTGCCAATATCTTATCTTCCACTCTGCAGGGTTGCTCTCCTCGTCGGAGGACGAGGAGCAGGACGGAGAGCAGTCCGGGGAGGAGCAGGAGGCCCAGGGCGAGGAGTCCAACGACCACCCCAACTACCCCCCCATCCAGCAGCCTATGCACTAGATCGAACCCACACCACTACCCCGCTCAACACGAACTCACACGCCATCTACCGCTACCCCCTCAATACGTACACACGTGCCATCACTTCAACTCAAAATATTTTTTATTCGAATAGACGCTTAAGCATTATTATGAAACGTCGAGCTTTACATAAAAATTAATACATAAGTTCGGAAAGAACTAATACATCTACCACTACCCTCCTCAATAAGTTCACACTCACGCCATCTATAGGGATAAGCACGTTTCAAGGAGGTTTCAGTGTTTCTCTTTCCGCGATCTATGGAAAAAAGCTTCCACTAATCCTTGGTACATTGTTTACTGATAATTTTTACCCGGTCTTCCATCAATTCATCAGGATATAATTTGGTTATGGCATTCCTTACAGACTTAGACACCTTATATTATAGAAGGCTATGATTGAATACAATTGTATTACAAGTGACATAATGCGATGACAACTGTGTTGCCATCGCTCGATGTCAATTGTAAAGTCAAGGGAGGGTTATTATAATTTTGGGGGTGGCTAGTCGCGTCGTGAAACTATATCTCAATAATATTCGTAACGAGACAGAAAGTGAAATAATCCACGCGTTTTGATGGATTAGACGTTTATTTTTTTCGGATACGGTGCGATTTGAATATCTCTTATCTCTCAGCACCCGGGTTTTACGTAATCTTGCGTTAAGTGTTAATTTAATTTCCATTTTAATAGTAGAAAAAATCGACTAATAATTATTTTTAAGCGTAAAGCATTTTAGAACTCTGTTAATTAAAAAAAAAAATGTTTTACGGTTGGAAAAATATCAAATGAAAACATTTAAACATTTTTGATGTGTATGTAAAAGTTGAGTTTTTATAATCTGTATCAGTATAGGAATGTTGTGTAAGTGGTGTGTTTACACGAGATATTGGGTATTCAATTTGCATTTTGACGGAAACTTGTCATGACAAGCGTCTTTTGTTTTACTTTTTTTTTTAAAACTTAAAAGACATTGTTATTGTGTATACCATAGTCATTAAGCAATGTAGCATAGAAACTTGTATACGTAATTCGTACCTCATATTATAAATTTCTAAGGTTCTTACGGTAAAGCTTTATCGTTATAGTGTTTATTTAGTGGGTGTAATTTTTTCTTCGAGAGCTGGTTCTGTCACAGATTATGCAAAGTTTCCTGACGTTCGATTTATATGAACAAGTTTAATTGGTACTGTTATCAGGCAGTATTATTACGAATGTATGTAATTGTATGTTCTATACCATTCACAATTTGGATAAGAGTCTAAATTCAGGTTGTGTAATGAAATTTTTGAGTATGTCTTTCATAGAATGTGGCGGAACCACCTGAGTTGTAAAATAAATGTTTTTTTTATTATATTATTTATGTAAATTAACCCGAAACCCGCTGAATATGCAAATTATGTATAATAATCGAATAACATCACGCAGCAGACACGCATCTTCCATTAAAATAATTTGTCTGCATATGATGTTTATTCTATTTTTTATAAATGGTAACACCGTCTTGCTCACACGCCGCTCAGGTAAAAGTTTTTAAAATCAAACCAATTCCCTCGCATTCTGTTACGATAATGCAAAATTGAAAATTACAGCACAGACGGTGTTGCCATGTACAGAACATTATTGTATACGTAAGTCTACATTGAGTGCAGCCATCTTGTCGATGCCTTTTTGTTGGTAACGCTTGTGATCAGGTGTTCGTCAATTTCTAAGCCGGTTGTGAGTAAAGTAGTTTATTTTTCTTTTCCACCCCATCGCTGACTGAACAGAATGAAATAGTGATTAAGAATATTTTTACCACGAAAAAAAAAGAAACTATAGACAATACCGTCCATAGACAGAAAGTTGTATTTATTTGTATAAACATAAGTTTTAATATACTCATTGTAACTATGGTTTACTTTAAGTTTATTTCAATGCAGCCATATTAGTATAGGTTAGGGTTAAGTATTTTAAACGATTATACGATATGAATATACGAAACCCAATGAATAATTGGATACTCAAACGTTAACTGTTCGATTCAAAACTGTATACGCGGAAAATATATCGAGAAGTTTTAAATTTAGACTGTAATTATTGTTCTTTTTTTTTTTTTAATCTGAACTTTAGAGTCCAGTTATACTATGCTGGGGAAGTTACGCAGACGGTTTAATATTATAGTGACACAATTTCTATGTATACGATCTTTTCCCACTTAATTGTAATTCAACCGTATAGAAAATATCATCGCATTATACAATTGTAAAATTATACGCGACGGAGTATTTATCCTTCGATAACGTGTTTACGCATCTGCTATATAGTTATTTATGATGTTTGTTTTTTAGTGAAATGGAATGCCGCTTTTAAATCCTATATTTTTTATACAAACGAACGATCGCCGGTCGTTGTGAAATATTTCTAGATTCGACATCGAGGCCGAATGGAGGGCGCTGCGTTGTTTTTATTAATGCGTATTCGTCAGTGTTGCCAAGTGCTGGGTGATTGTAAATACTAATTATTGGATGTATTTAGAGAATACTGGTGACAGATTTAATGTTTTTATTTCGTGAAGGGCGGAGTGTTGCTATATATATTTTTTAATTTTAAAGTATTATGTCACGGTGATAATAAGGTTAATTTTTGGGTATATTTCATTAATGCAGCGCTTTGTTCAATGCGTTCTGTATCTATGTAAAAGTTTAATAAGCCAACAGTAATACAGTACTGTCTCGTTATAATTTAATTAATGGATTGACATTAATAAATTAATCATACGATTTATTGAATTCTATAATACAGCTGACACAAAAAATGCTCTTTTCTCAATATCTGCACGCGATACAATAAAGGTACTTCGGTGTATTTCGATGTTTTTGATTCCACTGCTGTTGCCGCCAGAATGCAGAAATTTCAAGCACATAAAATTGGCCATGTATTTGTGTAATTTTTGTTCATTATAAAAATTATCTTTTCCCTTTTATTTGTAATGAAAGAAAGAAAGAAGAGGATCTTTAGGATGTCGGCGAGGTCGTCAGTAATACGATGCAACGGATATACGTAATTGAATAGTGACTAAAAAAAAATAAGATTTTTTACGAATAAATTTTAAATCAACAGTACGTATACCTATGTGTAGTGATAAAATCGTATTTTTAAAGTATTTTAAACGTAAACGTGTCTTGGAGTAACGGAGGTACATTTCGATTGTTAATTTTACCACAAGACATTCAGTATTATGGAGTATAGCGAAAAATGTCCACTTTTTAGTATACTATAGTTGTAAACGAATCGCGCTTGTTTAGATATTGTAAGAGACATTTCAAGTTGATTATATATATAATACGGCATAATATTTTACTAGTCAATAAAATACAGTCTCTCTGAAACGTGGTCTTTTTTTTATTTTGCACCAAAAAATGTTCTGTGTTTCAAAACGTCTGCTTCTCCTAAAACATTTTCTAAAATGATCGCCAAGCTTGATGATTCTCCAAATTATAATAATAATAATAATAAAATATCTTTATTCACATAGACGCTTGCGCGTTCTTATGAAACGTCGAAATTTTACAAGGAAATTAATATGTTCGTAAGTTACCACCGGTTCGGAAAGCAGTTTCTGTTGAGAAGAAACCGGCAAGAAACTCAACAGTTGCTCTTTTTTAAAAGGTCAGTTTACAATATAATGTTACAGGTATAAGTCTTGTTTTAGCCTACGTGAGTATCAACAGTATTAACCCCACACATGGCGTTGTCAAGATATTCAGCAATAGTATAATAAGCTTTAGCCATAAGTTATATATTAGATGATGGTTATACGATCCGTGCCGTTTGGACGGACTAAAGCATCAGGAAATCCGGAGGTGTGTTAGTGACTTTTTTGGTGGGTATAAGAGCGGAAGCCTTACCTAATGATTTTTATGCGATGGGTTAGCAATGGGGCAGTTCACCTGGTAACACCGGTGATTATCGCGGCCCATGGACATATACAACACTTGGGTGTTGCCAACCTTTTAAAAGATAGACCCGATTCTATAGATATCTTTGGACGAAAGGCAAGTGTGTACTTCCACTTAAGCTTACCCAAGCGAAAGCCCGCTATGAAAACAGATATAATATTTTTTTCAAGGTGGGATACATTAAAAATTAAAGTTAACAAATCCTTATTAATGGTTGAATAATTTTCAAATGATACTAAAACAATTGTATATCTTATTTTATTATAAACAAATTTTCAGATATAAAAATATGTCCTTATCGTTTATGTACATTATGAAATACATTAAAAAAAATTCCTCGTACACCCCCAAAGAAATACAATTAATGTTTCGACTAATAAACTTGTATTTGTTATTTATAATTAAGAGATTACAAAGTAAGAAGTCTTGCAAATTTAAAGCTTATCGTGAGCTTTTCGAAATATTATAAAATTAATGTGTTGCGTCATTTCAATACAATATACCTAAATAGATAAAAACACAATAATAGATTAGGGTCGTCGAAAGTGAAGAAATATATCGATATTTACTAAAATATCAATATCGGCTTCGATATATAGAAGAATAAATATCGATATATCAATATTTTTTCGACATCCCTATTATACATACGGAAGTTGCGATTACAACACGAAGGAAAATAAATAATCGTAGTGTAAAATAATTGAGCAAGATACACATTTATTATTTTATTCTGTGTTCAATACTTACGAAACTGCGAGCACTTCTTAAAGCTTATTTAGTTATAAACTTACATTTATATCACAAATAAGAATCGTCCCTTATATACATTAACTGGGTATAATATCGTTGCCGCATCCTCTTTTGCAATAAATAACCAATAATGTATATTGTACGAGAATCAGTTTTTGTAATATTTCGACTAGTCTATAAACGGTATGCAACTTACTTATACTTATCGGTGTTGACACCCACTAAAATCATTAAATCTATTTAAGTACTTAGAACTGTCCTATTCTAACAAAAATTTTGGCATAATCATACATAGCCGCGTATGTAAACATGTAGAATTATTATTTATTAATATAAGCGATTACAGAATTTTGCTATAACGCAAAATCGAGGCGTTTTTCGCATTTCACAGGTTGGCAAGACGAAAAGAAAATTACAGCACAAATTAAAAAAATAACTAATTTCGTTTTCAATCTATAATACAGAAAAACCTGATGCCAGTTTGTAGAAATTTCTCCGAAAAGAGTTAAAATTAAGAAATTTTTAATGTCACCACCGTTTACGAATATCTTTAATGCAAAACAAAAATAATTTTCCAGCTTTGTACACTCAAAAAGCGGAGACATTTTCATTTTTGATCCTATGATGACACAATAAATTAAAAAAAGCTATTTGGTAACAGATTTGAATTAAAAATCACTTAATAATAAAACTAGAGGTATTTCTTCGAATAATTAATTACATTTACTTTAAAGATAGGGGAATTCTGGGAAGGAATGTACGCATTGAAAAGTGCTTGAATGAAATCTTTTGCTAATATTCTAACTTTCTATTCACACCTCAAATGTAAATGTAACTCTTTTGTTGTTGTCAAATAAAAAAAAAAGTTATACTAACATAGAGCAACTACTTTTTTTTTTAAATAAGCTTGGCACTAATTGAAAAATGTATATCACAAGAAACCTTCCTAAACTTCCCCTATAGTTGTTTATACTATATGTTATTTGTTCGTATCCTTCACCAAAAAATTCTATCAATAACGATAATTGAATATATGAAATTCATAGAACGTGTAAAAATTTCAATGTCGTGATACGTGTTTTTTTAAATAAACGGAGTTCGAGAAGGAACGTGTCATGTATCATTACCCACTAATAGAAATTCATATACACTAATGTTTTTAGTCCATAGATATTTCAATACAACAGTTGTTTATGACAGATTCAATTAAAAAAATCAATTGCTAACTGTACCAACATTAATCATCGTCAATAGTAACGCATCTCACCAATTCGACAAACGTTCACTTTAATTAAAATTAAATGGTGAGCAAATGTTATCCTAATCCTAAAAGAGTTCCCAAAACAAATGGAATTTTCAGTCGGCACAACCTCGTATTAGAAATCTTATTAGGCCATTTTCCATTGTTTAATTTCTTACAACTATCTGATAAAGTGGAATGTACAAAAATAAACATATTAAGACATTTAACTAATTTGGATTCGATGTATGGGAAATAAAATCCCATATTTTTTCGCTTTCGCACGTGTATTACGGACGGAATTGTCATTTTCTATAGGCATTGAAATAAAGACAAGACAAGAGTTAAACCAGTTCACCAGTTAAGCATCCGTCCTTTGATTTTCAAATCCTCGTCCTCAATAAAACTCGAGTCACTTATAAAGCGTCAAAAATGTTAACGTTTTCTCCTATTATGGAAAACGGCCTACGCCGTCCGATAGTCGATCGCCAAACACACGACAAGCTCACACTAAACTGAAGTTGGTACCATCAACGATTCACGGAAACGCGACAAGCGCCGAGCCCCATCAACGATTCAGACCTTCGGCCGCCAATCTGCCGCCAGCACCGGACCTGTATCCACGCACTCTAACTAAAATAACTATCAGGTAACTTGAAGACTCTACAGTGCCTGTGCTCCGACAGTATGAACGAGTTGTCCGACCTTATCAGGGTCTCGCGCTCGGCGTCGCTGAAGTTGGACCTCACGAAGTCGCGCCTGCCCCTCTTGAGGTCGTCTAGGCTGTGGCCGAAGCTCTCCGTCCTGCTGACCGACTTTAGCTCGTGCAGCCGGCTGTCGCAGCTGCTGGGGGTTGAGGGGCTGGATCGGTTGAGGGGCTGGTACACGTTGTCCCTAGGCACCAGCCGGTGGGACCCGTGCACGATCAGCGTGGACCCCCTGCGTATCGTCTCCCGCCCCAGCTCGACGATCTCTATCGAGTTCTGACCTATCACGAAGCTCTTGTACGCTCGGACGAACACCGTGATAAGTATGGACAGCCCGATGATTATCATGGAGTAGGAGATGGCCGGTGCCGCAACGGGACCGACGGTCGTCGCGAGGAATATCCACCGCCATATTGGTGTCGTCACCTCGTGGATGCCCTGAAATTTATTTAGTTGTTACGTTTTAACAAAAAAGTTTTGAACGTCCTCACACCACAGTAACAACTTAACGTTTTACATACATAGATTTCACGTGCGTCAAACACCAAGATCCGAAAAAATTATATGCGGGCCACACAACAGTTGTTCTCTGTGGAAATTGAACCTAGGACCTCCGCCGCCGAAGACAATACCTTGGAAACTGCGCCATGAAGTCATCATAAAGTTCATCAACAAGTATCACATTGGTACACGGACCAATGATACAAGGTATTTATACATATGCGGTAGGTTTTAATGCACTTTACGGGTAAACATTGCATTTAAATGAAGTTGACACATTGACAATAAAAATTACAAAACATATATCGTTGTACACCGTAAATTTATAATTACTGTATTAATATTCGTTTTTAATGATATATTATAACAATCAAATGAATTATTACAAAAAATGTAATTATATACGTTAAAAAATCAACGTTTGAGGTAGATAACTGCAATAGTATGTTTTATTGTATATGTGTGTTTAAATTGATTTTTTGTTTTAATGCGAATATTATACATTGTGAAATGAAACTATTTAACTTATTTTATCGCGTTTAATTACATTTTTAAATCCCCGTTTCGAACCCTTTCCATCGTTCATGGTCACGGGACAGATTGAGTTGTTTCACGTCTTAACGTCACAATTAACTAGGCTCAGGTTACCCCGTCAATCATTTAAATATTTGCTTTTTAATTTAATTCCGATATAAGCAAAAGGAGCTCATGGTATTTTTGAGATTGGTGCTTGGATGTCTGGTAGTAATTTTATTTCGAAAACGTTTTGAGTGTTTTGCAGTAAATATATAGACGTTATTAGGGTTCCGTACCCAAAGGGTAAAACGGGGCCCTATTACTAAGATCCCGCTGTCTGTCTGTCTGTTACCGGACCGTCGCAAGAACCGTGATAGTTAGACAGTTGAAGTTTTCACAGATGGTGTGTTTCTGTTGCCGCTATAACAACGAATACTAAAAAAAAGCAACTTTTTAAGCGGGGCCCCAATACATACAAAAGACATAATTTATTTTGCCATTGTCATAGATAACGGAGCCCTCGTTGGCGTTTCTCTAACTCACCTCTTCAATCCACATGACTGGGAACATGATGTCGGGGAACTTGTGGATGTTGTTCACCTTGATGTTGGGAGCCCGGTTCACTTTCAGGTTCATCTGGACACGCACAAATCCCTCCAGTGGAACACCTATTTTCTGGAACGTATACAGGGTGATTTTATAGACGACGGACATATTAACAGAGTACATGCAGAATTGGATTCTAAATCCGAATCTGGTACGTGCTTGTGACCTCATTTATTTATTTTTTTCAAAGACTAATTTTAATTTTTTTCAAACATGGATTCCTTAAGAAATTCGTGCCTTACCGTCTCAATTCAATAACCTATTGATGAGCACCAAAACTTTTCGGTGAACGCATAATTACTAAACCGTTTATCAATAGGGTGACCACTCTTAACAGTATAAACATACAATGTTTGAATTGATATTTTTCTGTTTATTTCTTGTCAAAATAAAATATTAATATTTTTTTTTATTATGTACTTCGTCTAAAAAATCACTCTGTATGTTCAATTACGGCCGGTTTCAATATTCTATCTACAGATAGATTTGGTTACTGAAGATAGGATTTTGACGTGTCCACAAATACTTGTCAGGTCTGGGAATCGAACCCACGGCGCCGAAAATAATGGCCTAGCATCTGTACCATTTCGGTTATATTCTGATTGTTTATTAAGTGTCCCGTTAAATATATCACTGTGCTTCGAAATTAATTCGATAAAACGCTACTGTTACAATAACTTTCTAAATCAGACATTCAATTTAATTATTTCTATACAGGTCTGTTGAATAGACTAATAGCTTTTCTTTTCTTTATTTTATAGCTAAAGAGTTTATTTATTTGAACGCGCTGATCTCTGGAATTATCAGTCGGATTTCAAATAGTCTTTTTGCATTTGAAGACCCAATTCTTGAGGAAGTTTATCGGGTATATAAATAACATCACGCTACGAACTATGACGGCGAAGCAGGTACGTTTCTCGCGGATGAACGCCGCACGGAACAATAAAAACTATTAGATGTATGTTAGGTAAGCCATCGAGTTAAGTTTCACCTCCTTTTCGACCGACTTCCAAACAAGAGGAGGTTCTAAACTCGGTTGTATGTTGTTATTTATGTTTGTTACCTCAGAACTCCGTCATTCACGAAACGATTTTGAAAATTCATTTTGCATTGAGTTCGGTTTATCTCCTATGTGGTGCCATAATAGCTTCATCGTTATTAATTACACACGAACTACTCAAAATCCAATAGAAAATGTATAGGTATATGATTTAGCTTGATAAAAATGTATGTGTAGTTATAAATGTACAACTTACATCTTGTATATAAAAATATGTCTCGTGCCGCTTCTTGTCGGGCTTCAGGCCTTCGAAGGGCTCCAGTAGATTGGGGTCCGCGTCGAAGAAGTGGGGATAAGACAGGAAGACAGGGGCGTCTGCAATAATACACCGTCTTGCAATACTATTTATATACGGGATGGCTTCATACAACGCGGTAGTCATTCATAAATGCGTCGTATAAAAAATCGCGCGTAAAATAAATGAGTTGCCCATAAATCACGCACTTTTTGAGATTAGTTCAAATGAATGTAATCAATTACTTACGAGTGATTTTAAATATTTATCATTTTTTATGTAACATTATTTATGTCTAGAATTTAATAAAAAAATAGATACACTTAAAAAAGCCTCTCTGTATATTTAAAGGTCTAAATACTATTTAATCGCCGGCGACACAAGCCCTCGAGGGTTGCAGGTCTCCAAGGGCGGCGGTAATCACTTACCATCAGGTGAGCCTCCTGCTCGTATGCCTCTTTTCTCCATAAAAAAAAATATACAGATAGGGCCACGAAGAACGTTTTGCCACTACACGAGTGGGGAGGTCCGTCAGGGTGAGTAACACGGCCTCAAGACTGGCGTAAAGTTGAAGCGACAAGAGTTACACTTCTGCGTTTCGTCTGGTGAGCGACGTAGCCGGGGCCCACTTTATTTAAAGGTGGCGACGCATTTGCAACGCTACGGGTGTTGCGAATGCCCACGGGCGGCGGGTATCACTTAACATCAGGTGAACCGCCAGCTCGTTCGCCACTTTCTCACATAAAAAGAGACCAGCGGGGAAATATGATGCTTCGCGTTTCGTCTAGTAAGTGAGGCAATCGGGGCTTTGTTAATTTTGGCAACAGACGCGTTGCCAACGTTACAGCTCGTCAGGCGTTGCGTATGTACATGAGTGGTGGTAATCAGTTAAAGTCGGGCGAACCGCCTGCTCTAGCCATCACAAGAGGCTGCTATTTGCCTCTGCCGTAATAAACTGTCTTTGGTTCTCTTTTCCTTACCCTGTTATAAAAAATAATCTTTATTCGTAATATATAACTTAGGCCGCCTTTATTCAAATACGTATGCGAGAAATATGAATATGTACCTATTATGTATCTATTGTTAATGTTGGATACGCTTAACAAAACAATCAATATTTTTTTTATTTGTACACACAGACAAATAAAGACACGGAATCTTATGTAAATAAAATATTAAATGCAAATTCCCGATAGCGGAAAAGCCCAAGTCCATCGTGCCAATAATAAAAGTAAATAATAAATCGTCACCATAATATACTTTTTTACTAGCTGGTGCCCGCGACTTCGTCCGCGCAGGATTTTGATTAGCTTATATGTTTCTCCAAGGTCCTATCTATTTTTATACCAAATATTGATGTGCTATTATGATGTATAAGCTATATTGTTTTGTAGATTTTGCGTGAAAGAGTAACAAACATCCGTACATAAAAAACTATTGCGTTCATAATATTAAGTAAGAAGTGAGGACTGCGCAAGCGTCGTCCATTTGTGACATCTTAGAGTACATTTCATTACATTTTCAACAACTACATAATCACAATATAGTGTAATGTGTGTATAGTATAGTGTAATGTGTGTACAGTGTGATAAAACGAAGAACTCACTGTATTGGCACGGGCTTATGTTCTGCAACCCCCTGGGTGGGCACTGCTCTCCTTCGCAGTAGCATTTATTATCGGGGTTGATGTCGGCGCACTCGAAAGTTGAACTAGATGGGGTGTACACGCCCGCTTGTATGCCTGCAAACGTTGATGTTTTGATCAAGATGACGTGTTCATACTGCGTGGCGTTTCAAAAGTTAAAATCGTTCCGCTTTTCATTATTTGACGTGTATGAGTGAATGTGACAGATGATATAGAACGTGTATTACGGAAAGAGAGCGGTCTATAGGATTGCAATCTAATTACTAAATAACATCTGTTGGCATAATTTCATTTCGTATCTGTTTATAATATCATTGCCTGCAAAGGAACTTTTTTTACATTTCTGCTTATTTTACAATATTTTCACGAAAAGGATGAAACAAATATTCTTCTTAACGTTTACATAAAGAGTAAACGTGTACCTAATCTTCTTAATGGTTTTTTGTATCCACATTGTCTAATGAAACTGCTGATTTTAAATTTCCAACGAATCGCTAAGTTTTAAATTGTATAAAGAAATTGTGAAAAGTAAATATAAAATAAAAGAGTATGTGTAAGAGGACTTATTTAAGTACCTAAGAATTTATACATCTTAAGCGTAATATACATTAGCGTGGCGTACATTAAATGCAATTCATACCGATTTATTTAAATTATTTGGAATTATAGGTAAATGTCAACAAGTTGTTATTGGTTGACATGGCAACTAAGCATGATGAGGGTTGGACCAACTGCATCAAGTTGCTTTTTGAGTATGTAAAAATTTTACGGGCCAAGTTGATATAATTATTGTTATGAAAGTTTTAGATAGACATTGCTTACCGTCCTTGTAGATCTCACGTCTGTACTTAAGGGGCATGATCCTGCACAGATCCTTGTCGTATACGTAGACGGTGTCGGACTTGGTGACGGAGCGCGGCGGGAAGAAGGAGCCCTCGGACGCCCTGGAAGATGACCACGTAGTGTCATAAAAAGTCCGTTTCACATTCATTATACTACGATCAGACGACTTCGAGTTAAGATAGCACTACATGTTAAACTATTGAAAAAGTCAGACCTTTGCAGTTTTTTGAACGGATTTTCCCAATAAGGAAATTAACTTTTAAGAAAAGTTAGTTTTGATCTTTATTTAAATTATAATACCGGCTAGTTGGACTAGCGCATGAAGGATTCCTTTTCTGTTGCATGGGAGCCCCATTTAAATATTTTTTTATCCTGCTTTTTAGTATTTGTTGTTATAGCGGCAACGGAATTACATGATCTGTGAAAATTTCGACTGTCTAACTATTGGTCCCGTTTTACCCTTTGGGTACGGAACCCTAAAAATGGAAAAATAAAACGGACACGGAATACGTTACAGATAAAAAGATAAATGTAACTATATAATAATAAAATACCAGTGTATCAATATCAGTGTTCTCATTTAAGTGACACTTACTCAACGGTGAACATAAGCATAAAAATTTACGATAAGAAATGAAAGAATAAGAATTTATGGATCTGTGACGACCATAAATTCTTATTGGGTTGGTTGTTGAAGAAAATGTCCCTTTCGTTGCGATCTGCCCCTGTTGGGATGATGTAAGAAAAATACCAGTCCAAGGACAAAGTACCGCCGCAACATTACATAAAAGCAAGTTTGCTCTATCTGTTTGTCGGACAAACACGCGGATATATTTGCGCGCGCGCCGTCGAAGGCCCACACGTATATATCGATTTCCCTTACGCCCAAAAGTGCGTAGTTCATACATTTCCAGCAATTAGTGTTGGGTTTTCCTATTTTCTTACAGAGGTTCTCATCGACAGCTCGGTAATATCAATATTTATCAGCACAGCGTGAATATAACACAAATATATATAAATAAAAATCAATTTATGTGTGTATGGAACTCAAATGTCTGGACAGATTTTGATGGAATTTTGAAATAATCTACAGAGTACCCCAGAGGTTGATGATGTTAGCGTTTGGTAGAGATCGAATCAATACATTTTTTAATATTATTAGCGCTACCCCGTAGCCAGGAGGCCTATGTCAGGCAGTGGATGAACACTGGCTGAAATGAAGATGATGATGCCCTCATCTTTAAACTATCGTTTAAACGAGCAGTTACATAAACGCACATAAAAACCCATAAGTAGTGAGTCAATTAAAATTTCCACTTATTGAAATAAATTGTGATGCTTAAGTGGTAACGACTAGTGAGAAGCACTACAGCAGTAAAAGACCATCCACTATTGGCCTTAGGACACTCATATTGCTTTCGAATAGAAAACATAGCGGTGATCATTTAGTCATCTCCTTTACTGTATGCATTACGAAGGAGTCAAATCTATTCGCTCTAAAGAGATGAATCAATAACAAAAGAATCAAGGTGTACTAAGATTGACTAGCCATTCATCGGATCGATGTGTACTACTAGGATTGATTATTAACCTGTTTCCCGGCAAATATAGAGTAAATGTTCTTCAAATATGTTGGAGGATATAAAAACCTAGGCTGTTACACTACTTTTATATCAACAACATCTGTAACACCTGTTCAGTAACACCTGTTTAAGTTGCTCGATAACTCTAGATTAGATTGATTCAGAGGTGTCTTAAAAAATCCTAGATTAAGTGTTACATTAGATATGACTACACAACATTGGATGATGCACGATCACTGTATGATTTCACACAACCATAACTCAGTCGCGCGCAAACAAATAAACAATAGAAATATCTTTTATTACGGTAAATCGTGGGCAATATACAAAGGACACTTCCTCGAAGACGTGTCATAACAGCGAGTCAACATCTTCGTTCTATAAATGTACGGTTTGTATCAAGTTTCCGTTACTTGAACGCTCGGGGAAATACGGATTACGTTGCAATTATAATGAGTGCAGGGATTTATTGCTTTGTTTTTAAGTCTTAGTGATGCGACACTGAGATATGAGAGTCGGTTCGTAAATAGGCACCTAACCTAGTGATGTTCCTGTTTGAACTATGGTACGAAGTCTTATTGAATGCATGCTGATAAAGATCGCTTTGTGATAGGCGTAACAAACGTTAATGTAGGCCGTGATTTTACTTCCCAAACTGCATTATAATTTACACCAAATCACCATATTCTGGCAATAAAGACATTCATTCATTCATTCCCGCCGTTATATCGCTTTTCGCATCAATTACATGCAAAACTACATACAATCGTGTAGTTGTAAGTGCGTCGGCAATGTGTTCTTTTAATGCTACGTTTCTTAAGGACACTCACTATATTATATACTAGTGGTCGCCCAGTGGTCGAAATTCGACCATAATTAATTATACATGGTAGTATGTGTAATGTTTTTTTTTTAATTAATTTAATGTATTTTATGTATAATTTAAAAAAAATAATTAGCATTCCGCACTCCTTCTCTACATAAACTATAAGTGTGGGAAATTTCATACTCCTCTTCAGTCTTTACTCTATCATATTTTACTTTGTATAACTTAATTATTACAGCAAAGTTACGGTAAAGTACCAACAGCTAAGGAAGGAAAAAAGATCCTATATCTAGCCAATCAAAAAATTAAACTTTTTTGTGACTAAAACATTTGATTGTAGCAAAGTATTATTAGAAAAGTATTATTACGTTTAGGGTTTTATTAGATAAATAATATTATATTTTAGTATACTTACGCCCGGTTTCTAAAACATTGTTTTTTTATTATTGTTATAGATACACGAACAGTATACATATTAACACAATTTATAAAAAAAATAAAAACATTGGACCTAATATGTACACCTACAGGATGATCTTCTAATGATCAGAACGATCAATCCAAAGAGTTTAACCATCCTTTTGTCAACTCAAACGATATTTGAAAAGCCGTTTGACAGTTGATTAGTTAACATCTACGATGATCACGCCCGGTTTCTGAAACACTGATCATCGTAGATGTCAACTAATCAACTGTCAAATGAATTTCAAATTTCATTTGAGTTGCCAAAAGGATGTTTAAACTCTTTGAATTGATGATTCTGATCATTAAGCAGATCATTCTAGTCAATTCAGACCATCCAGTTTAACCATCCTTTTGGTACCTAAATTGTGATTTGAAATCCATTTGACAGCTGATTAGTTGACTTCTACGATGATCAGTGTTTCAGAAACCGGGCGTTAATGTTATACATATATGATTGACATTTGTTTAGTCATTAAGAAATTTGGTGAGCTAAGTAACTCGTTTATTGGTCTTTAGTGGAATACTTTGTGTAACATGCTAAGAATTAAATATTTGGTGCGCCCGTGGCCTTTGAACGTCGCTAACTGAGAAAGTCGAGGTTAAAATAAGCTTTTAATTGGAAAACAACAAGTGACTATCATTGACCGTATTAATAGAGTTTATTAAAACAAGTAATATTATTAAAAAAATCGAGTTTACTTAAAGGACAACTGTACAGAAGGTTGGTCGCCGATATCGATTATGTGTCAATGATTGTAATCAACTTACTGCAACTTTCTTCAAACAAGTGTCTTGGAAGTGCGCGTATGCACGATTGGGAAATATAATATATCTAATGTCTCTACGATACAGAAGATTACACTATAGTTTGGGTGTATATGGTGTATTTATCCTTTATTGCATTTACCTTGGCTAAGGATTATATTGTTAATTAGGCAACCCCTTCCAGTCAACTTATGGTGTGGAGATAAATTGCGGTAGGTGCAAAAATCAGAAATAAATGTAAATGAATATAACTTATTTTTTAATTTGAAATGATACACAAATATATTTCTAAATATACTATATGAGTATGTAAACAATAATGGCACAACTGTAAGATCTGCTAACTTAGCTTATAATCATTTCTTTAATTTTTTTCCTAGGCTTAACGCCGCGGCTGGTGACAAGAGAGCTGGTTCTTTTCTCGCTCAAAATTAAGCATAACTATTCAGCGAGGAAATGCAGCTAGCGTTCTTGGCACCATGCCGCGTGGATAAGGTTTATTAAATAATACGTAATTTTAGATAGATTTAATCTTGTAAATATTATAATCCTTAAATTTAACGGTGGTAGGGCCACGCAGCAGCCTTGGCTGTTTGACGAATGGGCAGGCTCGTCCGCGTAAGTACGACGACGTTTGTCCGAAAATACTAGATCAGGTCTTCCATTGGGGTTCGCAACTACCTAACAAGAACCAGAGGTATTTAAATTACATGCAATGACTAAGAAAAAAAGTCCTTTGTCTATAAATATTTAAAGTCAGTTGATTCATGAATGTTTAGATCTTCTTGGATAGTCCTTTGTAATATACTGTTTGTTAGTGCACTGCATTACCCTACTAAACTATTAAAATATACGAATATTAATATTTATTCAGAACAAAATTAATATTATATAAGGTTCCATCTTATTCTCTGCCAATTTTAACAGATTAATGCGGGTTTTACTATCTCTCATAATTGCTCGTGAACGTTCTTTTGGTCTCCGTTTGTTTCGGTACCGAAACGGGGGCGTTCCGGTATTATATTCCATACCAAAAACATTGAATGTCGGTCACGTCCCTAGCGGGGCGATGTGTAGGATAGACGTGACTCGCCCTAAGAGTGATGCTTATCGTCAGTCTAATTGCGACCTTGAGGTCTGTTTCTGAACGACAACGCTAGTACCTTCCCGAAATATTCCACCACGATTGGGGGATAAACATCAGAAAGATGACTACTGTACCACACATCTTACACTTAATTATTTCTAATAGACTATAGTTCTCTTTTATTTGAAGTACTTAAACTTCTGAGGCTATCAGGCTCCATAAGGTGACGTCATGAATACAGCGCACGCACACGCTAGCTCTGAAGTCCTTAATACTTTGAGGGTGAATGTAATGTTATCAATTACTACTAATTTTCAACCGACTTCAAAAAGTAGAAGGTTCTACAATACGGTTGTATTTTTTATGTCATTTAAGAACCAAAAAAAAAAAAGGAAAAAGGTTAAGAACCGATTTTAAAATTTTTTTCGCATTGGTTTCGGTTTAGCTCCCGTGTGGTCCCATATTACTTTAAATGACCCATATTAATTAATATGGGACCACATGGAAGCTAAATGTTTGGTTCCATATTCATTTCAATTAATTTTACGGTGGTAGGGCCACGCAGCAGCCTCGGCTGTTGCATGAATGGGCAGGCTCATCCGGGTAAGTACCACGACCTCACAGAAGACCGGCGGCAAGTGGAATTATAATACTTTCGCGTTTCGTCTGGTGAGTGAGGTAGCCGAATTTTCAAAAGGTTGTCAACGCACCTGCAACCCTCGGGTGTAGCAGATGTCCATGGGCGGCGGTATCCACTTAACATCAGGAGAACCGCCTACTCGCTTGGCAACTTTTCACATAAAAAAAATATATGGGACCACAAGGGAAAACAATTCCCATATTAAATCGGTATTGGACGTTGGACTCCGGAAATACATCAGAGACTTCAAAATCGAAAAGAAAATTTACAGTGAGTGAGATATTTGAAGTCGTTATTGTTTTTTACTAGTAAAGATGTACTTGGTACAGGAAAACTAAAAACGAAGAACCAATGGAGCTACCGTGCGGTTGCTAGCCCGATTTCAGAGCTCCTTAGTCATCAACAACGCTCGTAAAAAGCTTTATTGGTAATTATTGAATCGATCGCGGGCAAGTAATGAATACGAATACGTCATAAGGTCACCAAAGGGCGATAATTAATATGATTGCTTACTCGGAATGGAGGGAATAAATGCTAACGGAATTAAATTTTTGCATTGCTTAACCTTGCTTCGAGTGATCCGACGGTTCATTTAGAAGTGACGTTTAGACTCAAATAAACATTAAACAAAATATTTTTTATTAGAATCTCAATAAAAATTAGTAAGGAAAGCAAGGTTAAGTAATGCTGGTGGTGTTTATTGGTCGTTTAGGACATAACATATCCCTTGAGACGGAATGCTATAAATCTCGCTACCAACTGCACGATAACACTGAAATGAACGAGTGAATGGAGGGGAGTAGAGAAATGAACTTATTTAGACTTAATAATGTGAGCTAAAAAGTGTCAAGGTATACAAGAAATGGTATCTGGTGGATTCGAGGAGACGAAGTGGTGCTTGTAATAATATAAATAAAAAACCAAAACAACGGTATTTTTCAGAGCCTCTAAGCTAAGGTCTGTTCAGATGGCTTTTTCTGTAGGTTAGCGTTGTGTTGTGTGCTGACTAATAACTAATACACTCACTCACTCACCTATGGACAAACTTGATAATGAAATATTTGATTTAATGACTTTATCATAATGAAATACTTGATTAAATGACTTGATGATTATGGCATACTTGATATAATGACTTGGTGATTATGAGATACTTGATTTAATGACTTGGTGATTATGAGATACTTGATTTAATGGCTTGGTGATTATGAGGTACTTGATTTAATGGCTTTGTGTTTATGAGATACTTGATTTAATGACTTGGTGATTATGGGATACTTGATTGAATTCGCTAAGTCACTAAACTACCTTATATTATTGCAGGGCTTATCCTTCCAGTGCGGTAAATGGTCTAGGCCATTCACTTTGTCCAGGTAACCGAACCGGTCCATCTTCTGTCCGGAGTAGATCGTCGACACCTCATCCAGGGTGCCGTTTCTCTGCGAATACGATATTATGAGTAGGCCGTTCTGGTCGTCATCATAGTTTGACAATAGAAAGGAGACGATTTGGTGTATGACTCGAATATTTTCAATACTTTTGCTGGACTTATACAACGAATATTTTAACCAGCTGTGCTCTTCCACGGAAAAGATATACCGAGGCATAAATGAAGTACTGGGGTACCTCTTCTTTCTAGAGCCCAGTGCCTAATGATACGTTTATATATGTATAAGCTTTCTACGTATAAAGTATGTGAAGTATTTATTACAAATAAACAAAAATTTGTTTTCTTCTTTGATGTACACGGATGCCTATATTACATTGCATGTTAAAATATTGGTAACTTTTTTATTACCGTTTTTTTTTTATTACCATTTTCATTACCACCATACGTGACAAGAAATTGATCAGTGTTCATGAAGTCCCAAAGTGAAACGATCTTTGTTGCTTCCAAGAAATAGAAAAAAATATTAGTACTCGATGCAAACGTTCCTGCTACAACTGGTTGTTGGTAACGTCTCCATTTATTAGATGGGGAACGATACTGGTAATGTATTTAACAATGGGGGGTCTTACTTACGGCAAGCAGTAATCCCATCTGAGAGTTGGGGCGCTTCCCCTTGGGGTAGAAGTAGTGGGCGAGAGTCACTAGCGGGTCATTGTACCTGCCGAGCAAATATCTAAATCGTTATCGTTATTTGTAAGAGCAAGTTTAGATGGTTCGCCTGATGTTAAGTTGGACGGTTCGACTGATGTCAAGTTGGACGGTTCGCCTGATGTTAAGTTGGACGGTTCGCCTGATGTTAAGTTGGACGGTCCGCCTGATGTAAAGTTGGACGGTTCGTCTGATGTTAAGTTGGACGGTTCGCCTAATGTTAAGTGATCACCGATGCCTATGGACATCTGCAAAGGCAGAAGAGTTGCAGATGCATTTCCAGCCTCACAGACGCTCTTCAGGTTGCCTCGGCCGAAAGACGAATGTAAAAGTATAAATACTTTACGTGTATCTTCTTTCGAGTTCTGTACTTTCCCTTAGGAGCTAGATTTACTAGTGCCTACTACTGTTACAACAATTAAATTGTTACATTAATTATATATTAATGTAACAATTTGCTAGCTTAGTCATGAGTAAATCGGTAGTTTCGATTCTAGTATTGGAGTACTATTCGAGAATTATTTATTCCTATTCTTTAACATAATTGTTCCGCCTCTGTTGAAGGCAACTTTGCTTTAAATAAATCCTCATTTATTCTTGGCATAAAAAATCAATTTTTAATTACTTATTCTTACTTCTATATCACAAATAGTATTTTTCCATAAATATTAAACATTAAAACATTAAAATTTGTGGAAAAAAGTGATAAGTAAAACATGATAAAATAAAATATTGTTTCATCAGCATCATCGATTTAGCTGTACCTATTTCAGGGTTTTCAGTAACCTTATTTCTTCAACTTCTTCCAAGACGTCAAGAAAACATTTCTATCTCAAAAAATTACTTTATTATTGGACCATATTTTGTTTCATACGAAATAACGCTGTTATAACTTTGAAATCTCGTAAATCATTATCATCGTTTCCCCACAGGCTGCCATGAAGCACGATCCTGAGACACCTGCAACCATCGACTTGTAATGTTACTATTTCTGTTAAAAAAAACCTATTTCTTAACTGGCTATATTTCAAATTAATCGTTTTGTTTTGTTGCTTAATAGAACACATAAGCAAGATATTAGTAGCATACAGTAAGATGACAATTAAAAGAGTGATGTACTTTATGCATGTTTTTGCCGTTAATTGATTATTTATTTATTTATTTAACAAGGCTTACAAACTAAATACATATAGAAACAATTATTATGAGGTGCACTTAAACATTGTATATATGCATTTAAATTAAAGGTAAACAGAACATATAATAAAAGACTTCCTTTAAGGAGAACAGTAACCTATAAAACTATCACTACAATAAAATTAGAACAAACAATAAAAAACCTAACTTATATAATGTATAAATAGAAAAAAGAGAGGAAGGAAAAAATCTTTTAAAATGAAAAAAATATTGGGCTGTGTAATGTGTTAGCACCTTCTTCTTTAAAATATTTAACCTATCAAAATTACACTCTTGCATATATTCAAGGAAACCGTTTCGAATCATAACATTAAACTGTTAATGCCTTAGCTAAACCACGCATGAGCACATGCGTGGCCCTACCAACTGTGGAGGGCCTCAAACCCGTGGGTTCTGGCTAGCCCACCGGTTCTGCGTTCGATAAAGCTTTAATAGTCTCGGGACTGAAAGCGTCAACATCAGTTAATACAAGATACAAGAAGGCTGTTAATGAGTATAAAGCAATGAAGAAAGTGAAGCGAGCCATCAAGTTCGTACCCGAAGACGAGCTCCTCGGCGGTGACGTGGACGAAAGGTTTCGCGCGATCCTTGTAGGTGATTGCCAGTCCCGTCACCAGCAGGTTGAACACGAAGCCTACCAGGTTCGGCGAGAATGACGTCACTGTCTAAATAAATTAATAAATGAATATATTAGAACACATTTTTACACAACGTTCCTTAGTCCCAAACTAGGGTAATAGATAACTGATGAACATACTTTTCTTTTGTAAATAAATAAACACCCAGACACTAGAAAAACACTATCTTTATTAACAATATTTTTCCAGCAGTAGGAATCGAACCCACACCCTCTGGCGCAGTAGGCAGGTACACTATGCCATTCGGGTCGTCTTCTTCTTTCATCTTAATCGAAGAGATAAATATGAAAGAAGAAATGGCGATATAACTAATGACGAGAAGTCTGTATGGAGAAATCCGAAAAGGTTTTTAACCGTGGTAGGGACACGCAACAGTCTTCGCTGTTGAATGATTTAGCAGGTCCGTCCGGGTAAGTACCACAAACTCATAGAAGTCCGGTGTAAAGAGGAATTGTTATACTTATGAGTTTAGTGAGGAAGCCGGGGCTTACTTTATTTTAAGGTGGCAACCGGTGTTGCAAATGTCAAAGGACGGCGGTTATAACTTAACATCAGGTGAAGCGCTACCTCGTTTGCCACCTTTTCACATTAAAAAAAACCGGTCAAGTGCGAGTCGTACTCGTACGCCGAGGGTTCCGTACTTACCCATTATGCCGCCATAATAAAGGCCCTGAGTCAACGCGATAAAAAGATATGGGCAAGTTTAGATTAGCACAAGTTAAGGGAAAATTCCGAAAATAAAACTTGGTACTCACTAGTTTTCGCGAAAATCTAAATTTCCCTTATCTTATTGTGTTGACTCAGGACCTTGATTTCCATACACCTACCAGGGGCTATAGATCTCAATATCTGGTATAGATTTCAACTTGCTAAGTCCACCCTTTCCTGAGAAATTCGGTGGTGCCACACGGACAGACAGACATATGAGAGAGTGATCTTATAAGGGTTCTATTTTTACCGTTTTAAGGAACGGAACCCTAATTAAAAGAAAATTACTTAGACGAAGGTGAAGTAGGCTGTATGACAGATGGAGCGGGAACGTCGATAAATGATGACTTGGTGATAAAATAACTGGCAGAGAAAGTATTATTTGGAATCTGGTTATTGACCTTTTCTTAATGTCAAGATCAATTATTTCATGCTAATAAGTAATTTGCATGTCCGCCAGATCTTGCACAATGGATCTGACTGGATAAGCATTAAGAATCCTCAACTTTATGTTGAGAGGGGGTTTGAGACCCCGGTTTGAGACACTGGATTTTTCTTTAATTTGAAAAATCCGTTCTATGAGAACGCCCCAATTACTTGGGGGCAAGGTCTCAAAACTATAGACGCGTTGACAACCTTTTAAAAGTAGACACCGGTTACCTCACTCACCAAAAGGTGTCTACTATTTTCCCTTTCGTTTTCATCACTACATAGTTTAAAACAAAGTCGTCCTGGTGTCTGTGTGTCCCTATGTATGCTTAGATGTTTAAAACTACGCAACGGATCTTGATGCTTTTTACTAGATAGAGTGATTCAAGAGGAAGGTTTATATGTATAACACATTGCACCCGTGCGAGGCCGGGGCGGGTCGTTAGTCTTTTATATCCTGTCCTTACCAGCAGCGGTATGTTCGGCACAACAAGCTTCTGCGTCATGTCCGCTGACAGCTCGGGAACGAACCGCAATATCTTGTTGTGCTGGAAGGTCACCGTGTCGTTGTCGTGGAACTTGATGTTCACCTTCTCCATGTCCTCCCTGGAATAGAACGGTGGTGTGAGGTTTTTTTTTAATTATGCGAATATTGCACATTTAAAAAGAAACACCAATTTACTTAATCGCACATTCATCACCTCACCGTGAAACCTGCATAATTTCGAAATAGTAAGAAAGAGATTTCGAAGTTATGTGAAGTCTGCCAATCAGCAGTGGGGTCGCTAAAACCCTTTGTAGGTAAGATGCCTTTGCCCAGCAGTGGGACTATATAGGTTGTTAGTTTACTTTTTATTTCATCGTGTTTTTTTATCGAATATACCAACTACAGTCTGTCCCGTGACCGTGAATTCGGTAAAGTATTCGAATCGGCGAAAGTTTACATTGAAAATTCACCGCGATAAAACTAGTTTTTTTTTTAATTTTAATGCACTTGACCAGTACCAGTCCCATTTTAAGATTTGCAAATACGTGCAAGTCTGTTGGAGATGGTATGCAATAAGATCCTTTTCTTAAATTGACATTTGCTTTTTTTGTTAACATTTACATTCCACATTAAAGTTATAATGAAATACGGAAAATAATGTTCTAATTATGATCTTACGAATTTCTACGAACTTATTCTTCTATTCAAATAAGTAATTTAAACTGTTCACAGTAAACATTTTTGGGTTTATCAATACGGTTATGGCACTTTATTTAACTTTAATGTTATAAAGTTATGAAAAAACATGTTTATGTCGCCATACCGTTAAATAGTGGCCGAGAATACTTATCCTCGTTCGACTAGCAAAACGCAAATTTCTTGTGTCTACATACGAGAGATTTGTGCATTCGGGAGCCTTGTGAGATTACGTACACAAGTTTACGTGAATCACGAATATGTGCTTCCATAAAAGGGCATGTCCCCTACACGCTAAGTAATTACAGATACTTTGGCTCAAAGCTTTGCCCTTGTTCCGCTTTGCCTTCGCTTGATCCATCAGTACTAATCCTTTACAGGTTATTCTGAATATTATGCGGTATATTAGCATAACCGTCTTGTTACTAAGAATACTCTAAGCTTATCTGTAATGCAGTTATGCACAAAAGAGATTATACGCAGATCAGCTATAACACATATAATGACGAAGGCTGTGCTTCGCCAATGAGGTAAAGAATAATTACAATCATCTGGTTCTCCGTTTTTATCGGTTGGTATCAAGTATTTATCGTTGGAAGGTTGCGTAGAAAGCGTGTTGTAGCCAGTTTTGGCTTTACGTGGGGAAGCACCGCTGCAGTAGTGAGGCCGCGGGGGGAGAGTAGTGATGTTATTGCCGTGCGTGGTCGCTATATTCTGCGACTGAATGGTTCTGAGCGGTGGATCCACAGACCACGTCCACCGCTTGGGGCTGGGAACCTGACAGCTTACTAGCACTGGCTCCCTGACTCGAGGGAGACCGTTACCCTGCCGATATGCACTCTATGTGGTTTGGTCGTTTGGTGCAGGTTTTGGTTGATGCGAGTATTCGTAGGCATCCCTCCACGTAACGAAAAAAAGGCTTCTCAGGAGAAGCGCCACAAACTCACAGAAGATCGGCGTAAAGTAGAAGTATTTATAATTTTGCGTTCAGTCTGGTTATTGAGGTGACCGGTTAGAGTCTTTTAAAATATCGCTAATGTAAATGTGACTGCACAGGTGTGTAGTCTATGTCATAGCTTCAAGTTGTGGGTTGCCTGTCAGTCAGTGTTAAAGTTTTATTAAGGTGCATGATAGTCTACTCGGTGGCGCAGTTGCTAGTCTACTGACTTCGGTGCAGTGGGTCGAATCCCGCGTGGGCCACAGACAATTATTTGACTGCTCCCCAAACAATTGTTCCGGATCAGTATGTTTGTTCCCGAGATGGGCTGCAGGCAGGCGGCTATTCGTAAATATGATATCCAAAAACCAATTATTTCACATCACATCTTGTGCCGACCCCACTTAGGTGGAATAAAGGAGGATGAGCAGACGATGAGGTACGTATGTGTCGTGTACGTATGGAGTACCTTTTAATTAGTCACTTCTTCCACTGTTAATAACAATGGTAGTACCGCGGTTCAGTTATCAAATGGAAATATATTTCTTCGTAAACCCAGCCGCACTATTTTACAGGTTGCCAACGTATCTGCAACCCCACGGGTGGTGGTGTATGTATATCGATAGGCAGCGGTGACTGCACATGAGACGAATCATTTGTTCCCTTGCCACTTTCGCTCTCAACGCGTAAATGAGACAGACACGTTTGAACATGGCCCGTCGGAAGAGTCGACAGTAACACTCTATGTATGAAACATAGAATATTTAAGAAGATATAGAGAAGACGGGAAGATTAGATTACATATAAGCGGTTATAGAACTGAATAGAAATTGCTAGCGAATTCAAGACTGTCGCGGTGGGTAGATTCGTGACTGTTCTCCGTTTGGCATTAATAGTACGGCCGTTCGTGTTGATTTTATATGAACATAAGATTTAACATTAGATAAGGCGATAAGGTAGCGCCAAATTGACGAAACATCGTACTGGTGTGTTGGAAACGTGGGTCGCGGGGTCGAGTTCGGGTCACGTGGACGGGGTCAGTGGAAAAGGGGTCAAGGTCGTCGAGGTGTCCGCGATGGACGATGGCGCCACAATCCTCCACATGGCACAGAACGGGGTGGACCTGTTCTTTCTTCATCGTTCCGCTGTATGCGATGAACACAGCACGCGTGTCATCTCGATACAGTACTTCGTGTGGATATTAAAGTCATTCTCCGTGGGAAATGGAAGTAAATCCTAAGAAAACCAGTATTTGTGAGAAACAACGATAGCTCGTTTGGCTTCGATTCGTTTAGTACTTGTTTTGATGTTGTTTCGATTTTCCATGCAAATTTTTCGTAATTTCTCATCGTTTAAAGCTTCCCTGGACCGCCATAAATATTTCTAAACCAAAATTAGCCAAATCGGTCCAGCCGTTCTCGAGTTTTAGCGAGACTAACGAACAGCAATCCATTTTTATATATAAAGATAAGACGTTATTTACAGTGTAAGATGAAAATGTGGCAAACATTGTGCGCTCGATGATAGGTGACTTTAGCGTCGCGTGACAAATTGCAGGATAATTTTAATAGAATCATTAGTTGAGAAATGGAAGGTGATTAATCCGACACAATGGGTTAATGATCTGGTAGTCGTGTGTAATAATAATTGCAGTTTTAGTTTGCTTCTTTACTTTTATATCGACCTCTAAATAAGGTCGTTCAAAAGTGTCAGATTGCAACGATTGATGAATTACAAAATGCATTCTGCTAAACTACACTACGCAGAAGAGAGAAAAGGCGAGATAGCTCGGTATCCGGGCGCTCGCCTTTAATTCAATATACTCGAGCAACCCAAGTTAGATCCCCGGTGCCGGCACCAATGAAATTGGTGTCGATGAAAAATCCCTCCTTGGGAAAAAACACCCAGATCCGAAATAATTATTTATCTGTGGGTCACACAAATATTTGTCGTGTGGGAATCGAAGCCACGACCCCCGACACCGAAGCCAATAGCTTAGAAACGACGCCACTGAGTGATAGATCAATATTTAAGTAATGTCTCAAAATGTTTGTAAAATATGCAAAACTTTAGTTAAGGCTATATAGGCTTAAGACAACTGCGTACGTAAAAAAATTGGTTGGTCACTCTGTACAGCCTTGCTGAACAGGAGTTTAAAAAAAAGAGGGTCCATTAGTATATGCGAAATCGTGTGAGGCAAGTGGGAGCTAGTTTTATACGAGTTACGACAACCCAGCCCCGCGCGATGTCATACGCGGTACAGTCACGCTGCGAAGTGTTTTGTATTTATTAACTCTTGGTGGATTAAAAAAAAAATTTTGGTCAACCTGATTTTTTTGAACAACGTGGATAAGTAATTACTTTAAATGAGTCGCGATAGCTCAGTGTACGGGGGTCGCTTTTAATAATCAGTCGCAATATTCTCTATGTTCAAGTATGCCAATGCGCAGTGGGTCGCGTGGTGGACTATGGAAATATAAATAGTATATAAATAGTCCTTATAGAGGGTATTAGTATAGAGGGGGACTTTGCCCAGCAGTGGGACTTACATAGGCTTAATTTTAAGTAATAACTCATGTAATTTTAACTTTGTGATTTGACGGATTATGATTTGAAGATTTTTTGCGGTCAAATAACAATTTTTTTTGTGACTAAAATCTCACGTCTCTGGGTAAGTTTGAATAATTCCACCATTCGATTTTTTTTATGAAAGATCTTTCACTTATTAGAAATTATCTAACTCTGACAGTTTTATACATGTATGTACCTGTATAGTCGCTTTATAAACCTAAAATGTTTTCATCAAATGTCTCTGTGAAATGTTACTTCTATTCGCGTATATTATAACGTACAGAAACGGGCAATAAAACGATACAAAAAAATGATATTAATATTGTGGGCCGTTTCTTTGCGGACTGTACTGGCTTTGTGTGAAACAATCACGCGTTTCGATGCATACTATTGTGTGTTCGACTGACTAGTGTGCGTCGCAAGACAAAAATAATAAAGGACTTGCATAATTGGTGCTTAAAATTTAATTTGTTTAATTGAAGGTATACGAATTTTCACTGATCACATAAAACCGATCGAGTATTATTTCGAATTTATGGTTATAAAATCAGGCTTGTATAACTTCATCATATGAAAATAATAAAACTTGTCTTCTCGATTTGTGGTTTTAAAAAAAAATTATATTCCTTAGATCTTTAGACAAATTTAGATTTCACTTTTTGTTCATATCGATTTTTTTTGTTATTTTTTATATTTCGGGACCATAATTTTGCACAACTTTATCTAGCCCAAAGCTAAGCAAGGCTTGTAACTGACAAATACACACATTCAAACTTTTCTATACATATATAGTAAAGATAGATCGACAAAGAAACATGTTTCCAATAATGGGGATCGAACTCACAACCTTTGGCACAAGAGGCAGGCACTATCCACTACGCCAATTGGATCGTTTAAAGATTTGTTGTTTTATTTAGCATCGATTTGCGCGATACGGCTAGAAATTAGAGCTTTTTTGGTTGCCATATTATACAGCGGGTCGTTACCATCGCGACAATAAATGAACACACGTCTAAGGCTACTTGCCAATAATCTTAAAAAATATTAACATTAAACAAAATCCATAATTAAAAAAAAATATTTTTCAAACAAACTAATTAAGTAAAAAAGAAACAAAATTTGTAACATCCTATACAATTCGCGCCACAGCGTCGTATTACAAGCCTCTCCTTCTAATAGTATGTTTTGTCTCTTTTAAATTCATTCAACCCATTCATATGCTTTGTGACCTTTACAAATGAACTTTACGTTACGCTTTTATAGGTAAGGGTGTTCTAAAATTCTTTCTGTTGGAAAATTTAATAACTCTGTAAATATCGATGTTTAAAGAATTTAAATGTTTAATACAACTTTAAAAAGTTATCCCCTATATGTGTGTTCATTTATTGTCGCGATGGTAACAACACGCTGTATATCAGCATGTGTCGCTCTTCTCGATTGAAACCTCTCACATTAACGAGTCGAACGCGCAGAAACGCGTTTTCATAAGATAGCGCGTGGTGCAAAATTCTCGAATATAATAACGTATCGCAGACCCACTCCAAAATTAGCGGTTTGTCAATGGACGGCCAGTTCCTTTCTGCCCTGTTTCCTTTCTGCATCATCCATCGAGCATCGCGATGTGCTTGATGATTTGCAGCATCCGATGATAAAATCAACATCGAAATATTTCTATTTTTTAAGATGTATTTTTGTTTTGGTCTTCTTGTTTCGCGCTCAGACGTTTTTACCTTAGATATTTATTATTTTTATCGAAATTTTCTTCGACGTGGCAATCAACCGCTCGGCTTAGCGGTTAAAGCGTCTGCGCGCTACCGGAAGATGTGAGTTCGGTTCCCGCGGCGGCGAAAAACTTTTCGTACATTTTTTTTTACAAACATTTAGTTACCTGTACACGAAAGGCCCCACCTCGGCCAGCTTCGGCTTCTCGCCGTTCTCGATGAACCCCTGGGGGTTGGTCACGTTGAATATGTACACTTTCGTGAGCCGAACCACCCCCGGCTTTTGCCAGTAGCTGTAGCTCAGTGAACCGTTCCACAGCCTCAACTCCTGTTGACAATATTTATTTATTTATTTATTTATTTACTTATTTATTTATTTACTTATTTATTTATTTACTTTTTTATTTATTTACTCCTTTATTTATTTAAGCTTCATTGCTACACCTTAAGCTAAGGGCTACAATAGGCGGACTTAATGTCTAATGGCACTCTCTACCAATCAACCCTTGTCATGGTGAAAAGTAGATGGCAGGTGCTAAATGAAGACTATAAAAATGAAAGTTAATAAATGTGCTGTAAAATATAACGTATCTGTAAGTATAAACAGGTACATAAATATGTAAATATATAGATACATACATATATATAGAAATTAATAGATAAATATATACAGATACGGATAATGAAAACACAAATAGAATTAGCGAAATAAAATCAGTGATTTAATCGTGGTTACTCCGGGCTGATATCCTAAAGAAGGAGACTTAGTTCTCTTGCATCGAGGACTGAGCTGATTGAAATAAGGTTAAACTGTAACACATTACGAGCTGTTAGCTTAAACATCTGGTTAAATGACTCCATTCCGGATTTAAAGACTACGATAAAGAGTAGTAGTAAAGACTACGATAAAGAGATAATTGTTTCGGATCTGTGTGTTTGTCCACATGAAATTTCTCGGTATAAGGACTGAGAAATTTTATTTGGTTACAGGATTTTAGACTACAGTAAGGGCAACGTTAAAAAAAAACTGCGCCGTAGTCTATCGGTTAACATGATTATGCCATCTATATTTATGCCAACAGCCTCATCACCATTGATGCAGAACGCATGCGACCTGTGCCCATTTCGTAAAAACAACAAGCTGCACCCCGATTGGCTGACCCCGATCGGTCCGCGACGGGACACCTAACCCAAGTTGCACAATTACCCCTGCGTCAGATGAAGTTTTAATATTCTCGCGACTGAAAGCAAAAACATCAGTTAATACAAGAAGACAATTACCCGCCACGAGATCTTCCCGCCGAAGGATACTGTATACAACTAGTTTTCAATTGATGAATTGTAAAATATGCAAAGTACTAATGTTCGACAGCCATAATTTAGTGCATTTCTATAACATGCCATAATGTCATGGAGCATCAAGATAATTCCTAATGTACGATTCAAATAGTAACACGTAGGACCCACCGTCGGGGGTCCCGCCAACTAACACTACACACTCAGTTAGTGCATCAACAAACACCATAGTTCGTCCTCGCCTTCCAGCACGGCGAACACAGCACAACGCGTACACTAGGTACACCCGCGTTACAGGGCGGTTCTCATCGCCGCCAGCCAACGACTAACCAAACACATCGGGGCACGGTCTGCACCGAACCTCGTTGGCCCGTAGGCGGCATGCCACAACTAACGCACGCATGAGTACATGCGCGGCCCTACCCATTGAGGAGGGCCTCAAATCCGTTGGTTCTGGCTAGCCCACCGGCTCTGCGTTCGACGAAGCTTTACTAGTCTAAGGACTGAAAGCCTAACATCGGTTATACAAATACAAATCAATTAGTAATGTGGACGAAGCTAGTTATACGAAATAGCATTACGCTTGTAAATAAAGTCAAAGTCAAAATTTCTTTATTCAACATAGGCTTATTTTAAGCTCTTATTGAACGTCAAAAACTACCACCAAGAGAAGAACCGGCAAGAAACTCTGCGGTCATATATTTATATTTTATTTCTATTTTTTTTTTTAAGTATTTAAGTATACACACAAAATTATTTTAGTATAATTTAGCAGGAGCCAGGGGACATGCAAGTGCAGAGCAAGAGTCATTTCCACACATCCTTGTCCTCAATGTATTCCTCGACATTATAATAAGCCCTTTCCATTAAGGTGGCTTTTACAAAATGTTTGAAATTATTTACACTTAATTGTTTGTGGATGTCACCTATTCTATTATATAAGTTAATACATCTACCAAGAAACGATTTCCTGGTTTTAGCTAGTCTAAACCGCGGTATTTCCAACGTGTCATCACGGCCCCGACGCGATGTGGTATGTTTTTTTGTAAAATGGTGTATGTTGTATTAGGAGAATGGCAAGAAGCGTGCACACAGTAATAAAACTATATGCCTACTAACTGTACGCACATTATATTTGGAGCGAAACATTGACAAAGAGCTATTACATGTTATAAGAGGAGAAAAAATCATTGCTTCATTACTTTACTAATATAAACGCGAAAGTTTGTATGTAAGGAAAGATGTTTGTTACTCTTTCACGCAAAAAGTACTGAATAGATTTTTAAATTCAATTTCAAATCCAAATTCAAATCATTTATTCATCGAAATAAGAAATATACATTTCATCTATCGACAGTCATTTTTTAAATCTACCACCGTTTCCTAATGAGGTTCCTCTAACGGAGAAGAAACAGGCGAAGGAAACTCCGTAGGTATCTTCTTTTTTGTCATTTTTTTTCCCAACAAATACATTGTTATACAGTACATTTTTTTTAGAAACAGCTTAGGAGCGATCATCTCATTCACAGGGGTTTATGTATCTCATTCACAGGGGTTTATGTACCGTGTATACATCCATATGCATTTAGTAAAAAGCGGTTATTTTAATATCACATACAGACACTCCAATTTTATTTATCTGTATAGGTTATAATTCGCCCTTTATGGATCACAATCAAAATTAACTCGGTGAACTTAAAATCTGAAATAATGCGGTTCATACGTTAGGTCATCTTAGTAATATAAGCATGAAGCGAAAACGCTGTGACTTGCTGATTAAAGGCGCAAAAAAATTCAAATACATAAAATGAAGAGGAAATTTGACATAGCAATAAAAATAAACACAAAGGAAGGTGCTAATTTTATTCATCGGTGGGTTATCGCTTTGTATTTTTATGGTTTTTATGATATTGATATTGAAGCGGGTGTACGACCCGATGGCTTCTTGAACTTATTTTTTCCCCGCGTTTTTTTAGCGCCAAATATAAAAAAATGATTGATATAAAGAAAAATGACAAATGGAGGTCTGAAATTAAGACCCTTTTAACCGACTTCAAAAAGTGGAGAGGTTATCGGTTTTTTCGATGTATGTATGTACACTGATTACGCGGAAATTTATGATCCGATTTACGCGATTATTCTTTATTTCGATGCAGAATAGTTGCCATTTGTATTAAACTTAAAAGAGTGCAATGAAACTTATTTAATTCAAATATTTATGAGCCAGAACACTAAAGTCATTATAATATTGGTGCAAATTGCTTTAGTACGAATGGGTTTGATTCCTTCAACAATTGTGTCGAACTTGAGGGTATAAATTGAGTATATAAATTTATTTATAATTTTATTTATTTCTTGAGCACAAAAAATTTGTCTGCGTAAACACGGAGCAATGTTATGCTAATAAGGTAAAGCTTTTATTAAAATAAACGTAAATAAACAAAACAATATATTAAAAAATACGTAAGAACACTAAAACATGTGTTATTCAATTGTATGTTTTTCGTGTATCTAAAAATGAATTTATTTACAAAAAATAATATAATTGCCAGTGTTTCTCATTCATCTATTATTTACAGTGCAAGCTTTGCTTAGGTCGCGAGTAAATAACATTGTGTATTAGACTAGGATTATTTATTTATTATTGTAACTTATTAAGAAGGTAAGGGAGTGTCTCTTACCCTGAAGATGATGTAGTCCAACCAGGGCACAAACGACAGTATTATCCCCAGTACCACTGTGCATATGCTGAACATTATAACCGCGAGACGTCCTGCAATAGAGAAATACAGATTCAATAAACAAAGTCAGGCGGTACATTGTGTCGTAATTGATTGTCATAATTTATAAGTACTGACTTTCTAGATAGGCAGTGATATACATACCACGCGTGGTGGACTATGCCCTGATACCCTCTGTATGGAGGAGGCCTTTGCCCAGCAGTGGGACATGTATCGGCTGTTACTTTACTTTACTTTATACATATTGTAGCCATAGTTCAGTGTTCGGTCGCTTTTATTTCAATGTACTCGAGCAACTCGACTTGAAATCGAGGTGCCGGCATGAGTGAAATTGTTGATTTTAAGTGCTGACGTATCACGGATTCAGTGGCGAAGGTAACATGTACATTTTCGAAATGATTTTGCAAAAAATAAATATTTCGAAGATATACGGAGTCCGCCAATCGGCAGTGGTGTCGCGTGGTGGACTATGCCCCTACCTCTCTGTATAGAAGAGGAATTTGCCGAGCAGTTGGACATACATATGCTGTTAATCTACTATATACTTACATTGTACATAACGAAGACAATTGTAAAATGAATAAAGAAACAAAAGAAGTTGACTGAGAATAGGAAATGAATACATTTTGACTGTCGGGTTCCAATTCTAGAATGAGATTGTATATCAGATATATGTATTATATGTATGATTGTATATCTGATATATATATATCAGATATACAATCTCATTCTAGAATTCGAACGCTTCATCATTTTTTGGTTGTATAGCCCAGTGGTGCATCACATCTCTTATATTAAGAGAGATAACTGAATAAAATGTCATTTGTTGACCGAGCCAGTCCGGTTTTCCAATATTCGAGACTACGGTCGTTCGGTGTCTTAATTACGGCATATTTTATATGACTTAATGCGCTTGGCATTGCACACCCAATGACTGCATGACCTCCAATTAGCGAGGAATCCAGGTACATTATATGTACGCAGAACTGCGTGACATTGTCACCGGCTCGAATAGGAACCCTTCCAGTAAAAAGACGCTTCAATAGGGCTCATGCTGTTCACAGTTGTACACGGCCACACCCAGGGGCTTGATACGTTTACAAATGGACCCTTATTTCTAATCTCTTATATATAAAAATGGATTGCTGTTCGTTAGTCTCGCTGAAACACGCGAAGGGCTGGACCGATTTGGCTAATTTTGGTTTTGAAATATTCGTCGCAGTCCAGGGAAGGTTTAAACGATGAGAAATTATGGAAAAATTTCATGGAAAACCGAAATATCGACAATTTTATTTTCCCATACAAACTGTACCTGTCAATCGTCTGTTAGGTTACACAGACAGGTTACACAGACAGTTGACAACTATGTCTAAAGCGTGCGTTCCGATTCCTCTAGAAATAATTTATATGGCAAAACAACGTTTGCCGAGTCAGCTAGTTATAAATAATAAATTAAAAACATGTCACGTGCGAGTCGGACTCGCGCACGAAGGGTTCCGTACCATTATCTATAAAAAAAAATCATGTCTGTTGTATGGGAGCCCCACTTAAATATTTTTATTCCGTTTTTAAGTATTTGTTCTATCAACAGAAATACATCATTTGTGAGAATTTCAATAACTATCACGGTTCATGAGATACAGCCTGGTGACAGACGGACAGACAGGCAGACAACGGAGTCTTAGCAATAGGGCCCCCGTTTTACCCTTTGGATACGGAACCTTAAAAAGTTAAGGCAAATGTTTTGAAATTAACCTCAAAAAATGGAGCTATATATATATATCTATTACTTGATCACGACTCAAATGAAGCAAGGTCTCATGACGTTAATTATAACAGGTATTTAAAGGTAGCTAGTTCGCGTTATATCAGCCTTCTTAAACTTCTTCACCTGACAGTTCGCTTTCTAGCAAAATCTTTGTACTACAAATTTTGTGCTACAAAGAGTTGTTTTTAAAAACTGATTTTCTTATATTCATAGGTAAATTTGATCATGTTGATGGTTTGCATGTAACCTCTGTCGATCAATTGATTTGACATGAGCTAAGATTTCTTTCCCCTGCCTTTATCCCACGTTGATTGATGCAAGATCTGGATAAATTATCTCTGAGTCACTCAAATACTTGCCCCGAAGGAATCGAATCCCTTGGTGCCGAAGCCAACACCTTAGTAACTGCGCCAACCATTCATTATAAGAAATAATCATTAGCATTGGCATAAGCCTCTTTCTAAGACTGATCGAACTGATTGATATAATTTTCCTATAAATATACAGCGTGTTTTTACAATCGCGACAATAAATGAACACACATATAGAGGATAACTTTTTAAAATAGTATTAAACATTTGCATTTCTTAAACATCAATATTTACAGAGTTATTAAATTTCCCAAAACAAAGAATTTTAGAACACCCTTACGTATAAAACTTGAATGTAAAGTTCATTTGTAAAGGCCACAAAGCTTATGAATGGGTTGAATGAATTTAAAAGAGACAACACATACTGTTAGAAGGAGAGGCTCGTAATGCGACGCTGTGGCAACGAATAAAAGTCTCTGAATGTATGACTCAGTCAGTCGTAGTTGTATAGGATGTTGTTTAATTTTACTTAATTAGTTTGTTTGAAAAATATTTCTTAACATCAATATTTTTTTATGATTATTGGCAAGTAGCGTTAGACGTGTGTTCATTTATTGTCGCGGTGGTAACGACACACTGTATACTATATAGTATATATCACAGTTAAAATTAACCTATTACTGTATCGATTTAGTGTCGATAAAAGTATAGATTCAATCCAAATTTAAATATTAGTAATCTCATGGTAATCTTATAAATGAATCCAATTCAGAACATTGTTTGTTTTAAAGTGTCTCTTTTGAGTTTTATTTGACACCACGAATTTTGAAATGCGGTTTGCGCATCTGTGTTATGCGACGCAGGTAAAGGACTTTCGCCAACTTTTCCCGTTCCTAAAACCGTACGTTGGTTTACATTACTATCACTACATAGTATAAATCAAAGTCGTCCCGCTGTCTGTCTGTCCCAATGTATGCTTAATAACAACGCAACTACGCAATGGATCTTGATGCGGTTTTTTTTAATAGATAGAGTGATTCAGGAGGAAGGTTTATATATATATATATATATATATATATATATATATATATATATATATATATATATATATATAATTCATGCATAATATAGTAGAGAAACACTGATAATTTTAGAGTCTACTAATGCAATGTCGAAAACAAACATTCAACATTGCAGACGAGCGAAGCTGGGGCGGGTCGCTAGTCATAAATTAGATAAAAATCTCGCAGCATCACGTACGTTATCTCGACAGATTCCGTTGGACTGTTCGGCTTCTTGAAATTCTTTAACCAGGTGTCCTGTGTCATTGTTTGCGTGCAAATATTTGTTCAAAGTGAAATTATACATTCAATCGTGGTCAGTTTCCTTCTCTTGTGACGGACACGCAAGAAAATTCAGTATCGGTTTATAAATTTCGACCATATTAGGGAAGAAACTGCGACTAACTGTAGTGAGAACTCAGAGATATTTGTAAGCTGGATATAAACGACGCTGAAGATTATAACCCAATGTAATTTGTTTCAAATTCGAGTTGAAGAAGAAAATAATTAATTAACATTAACCGAATTAAAAAAAAACTCTTTGTTACTTAAGAAAAAGTAGTAACTACGTCATGTTCATGTAGTTTAATGTGGATTGCTGCAAAATGTTATATACCGGAATTCGGCGCAGTCAATAAAGAAGGGCTTTGTCTGACCTGTCAACCTATGGTGTGGTGAGATCTTTAGGCGGGTGCAATACTAAAACTAACTATAATTTAAATCAACCCAAAAAATAAGATAAACACTTTTATCTACAATAAAATATAACAAACTATAGGTACTAACAATTAATAAGTTTTACAATTAAAAAAAAACATCTATGACTCACTTTAAAAGTAACGTTACAAATTCTCGATAAATTATTTATATGGCAAAACAACGTTTGCTGGGTCAGCTAGATAGACGCTAATGAATAAATGCTATAATTTGCCGAGTTGCGTCAGCTTATTTAGCATTATAATTGATTACTTCCCTATAATGCCCACAGTGTTGAGAAATAAAGAATTTGACGGAAGAATAGATGATGTAGTTAGGTACTTTAGCTTTTGCGCGCGCTCTTTAGAATTGTTATTTGCAGTTTTAACTGCACATAATATACCTTAATTACTTCGAAATATTAAAAATAAATTAGCATTAATATTATGATAATAAACTTGCCATAGAATTTATCTCCAAATTAAATATAATAAAAACATTTTATTTGGCGGTAATGTTATAGCGGTGATAAAAAAAAATCGGAACGTAACATCAGTGTCAAAAAAAATGTAATTTCAACAGTGCGGAAACTTAACACGTTAAATGTTTTATATTATACATCAAAGTAAATATATAATACGCTTGGATTGCGATGACCTTCAGAAAGAGTTTGACCTAAGTTTTTCAGAGACTGCTTATGTTGTGTCGTCAACACATTTTCCTTATGAGAGACATCCGTTAGGTACCTAAATTTGTTTGTGAGTCATGCCCATAGACGACACGTTTTCCCCCGAATCTGTGAAAGAGCTGAATTATCAAAAAGGAGTGGCAACACCGCGTCACATGGACCAAATAGATCGCCCTTGCGAGCACGGCGAAACCAAAACAAGGTTATATGAGGCACACCTGGGTTCCAGAGCGGTTCGAAAACCCCTAATTAACGTTAGTCATAAAGATATAAACACGAAGGTCGATGTACGAAAAAACTTTAATGCGAGTTAAGATTTGATGAACTTAAGTCGACAAGTCGAGGTAGCCATTAGCAAGATACAAAGTAATCCGTATCTCTTCGATGTACACGTCCCGTTTAGGGCATTTTGCACGTCCGTAACATTATTAAAAAATGCAGCCAACTAGGAAGATTTGCACTGTCGTAGCGACACTAAAGGATGATTGCTTGCCTTATGAGTTGTGGA